TTTAATCCGATCGTCGTGAAACTTTGGGAAACTTAATTTTCTGCCAAAAAAATGATCTAGACAAAATTTCATGACAATTGGTCGATAAATGAATATGCTCAAATTTCACATTTTTACTATTTTGAAACTGGCTAGGCCACTTTTTTTGTACGGTCTCAGGCTACCGCGCACATGTCGAATTTCACCAGTGCCACAAAGTTATTATTTTTTGTCGGACAGTGTTAAAAAAATGAACAATTGAGGTACTTTCTTTCAAATGTCATTAAGATTGTTAACGATGTTAATGAAAACTAAACAATATTTTACCCCAATAACATTATGTGATGTAATATCTTATGGTTCTAATGAACAATATTATAGGTGACAATAGCATTACTACTTGCGTTTTGGGTTAACTTTTGAGTCTGATTCAATTAAAGGTTCGACCTTTTCTTAATTACTCCTAATATTGAAAACGAACTTTAATGATCAAAGAGCTTTTTCAAGTTGTTTTTAAATTTTCCGTTATACGCAACATACTCGACTTAAGCTACACCATAAATAAGAAATAAATCAATTTCTGCATTTGTCAGTTAAGTGAAGTTATGCCGTTTGAAGAAATTTCAAATTGCAAATCCGAGATAAAATGTTCGTTTTTGAGCTAAATTTCTCTTTCAAACTTGGTGGCGAGATTATGAACGTTCTACGATTCAACAACTTATTATTAATTACATTTAATTTTCAACCGATGGGCTCAATACACAAAAGAAAAATAAAGGAATTTTAAATTTTTGATGTATCAATCGGTAGAATGGGTGAAATGAACAATGTCAATTTCTGTGGAAAAGTTTCAATGGGATAACCACTAAATGACACAGTAGTAAATAATAGTTCATTTTTTTCGTCATAGAAATTTGTCTTTAACCTGTCATGTTTGGAAAACATCGCCTCCAGTATCGTTATTCGATTCCAACAGAACCTTAGTCGATTGAAACATGTTCATATATTTTTTCAATACAATCCACATAATAAGTATTTTTAGCAAATGCATTTGAGAAACGCTAGATCAATCGATTTGATTCATTTCCAGGAGAAAAAATTAACAAAATGTAAGTAATTTCTTTGAGCTCTTTCTTCTCCACATTAACGTTATTTAATTCCATTTTTTATCGGCTAATTTAAAAACAGAAAAAAAAACAGTTTTATTCACCAAAAATCCAATCTTGAACAAAATTGCATCGGTTGAATGGAAGTGCAATAAAATGAAAGATTTATTATCGAATGCAAATTAAAAAAATGTTACATCTTCGACTTCTTTTCATGTCTGCTTTTCTACCTTTCTTTGGCCATCGTATATTGCACGAGAACACAAATCAGTTCAACGCAAATGCGAATATTCCGTAGAGCCAAAAGTCGAGTAGAATTCTTGGTGGGGCGACCTTGTATATATTTAGCATTCGAGCCATTCTTGCAGCCATCAGTTGAGCTTTAACTTTGAAACCGTTCAGTCAATGTCACGGTTACTAGTAATTTGAAATATCCATCGTTGACGCAACTGCAAATACAGTATTTCATTTTCTTTTAGTTCAAGTGTAAGTGTTTCTGTTTGTAAATTTCGCTGACTGGAATATCAATCAAGTAATATTGATTCGACACAACTATTTTCAAATTGTTTTACGAGTCTGCTAATCCTCATTGCAAATATGGCTCATTTAAAATCATTAATCGTCAATACGTCTATTCAAAATCAATTCTTCGTTACTATGAGAATGTCAATTGGCAAACTAGAGGAATGAAGAAAAAGACACACACTTCAAATAAACTGACCAATCGTTCGAACGATTGATCGAGCAATTTCTTTCCACTCGATCTTCTCTCGTTCTCTCACGCATTTTCCACTGCCTATACACTCGATGTCGCATACTTCCAATCGATTTCATCTATGTATATATATATATTGTGTCTTCGATCGTTGCATGTATTAGTCTTCACTCTTCATGTGCCGAAGAGTAGTTGTAATCATACGTTCAAGCACACTAGATTTTCATACGCATCGACAAGATGTGTTGAAACAGTTCACAAAGAAACAGCGCGCATTTTTTATGCTATATATATATATTTTTTTGTTGTTTGTTGCAAATAAAAGTACAGATAAGTTAAAAAAAAAACGAGAAATTCCATTGTTCGAAGGCACCAAAAACAGTTCAGTGTTGATTGAGAATTAAGTGGTATCGTTTCTTAGTTTCTTTGTTATTCAAACAGTAGTCAATTTCTTCTGCGAATTCGCTGTTTTTTCATTCAATTTTGTTTTGACTGTGAAAACGCTACCAGTTTTATTGCCAATGCAACGCGTGAAGTGCAAGTGCATATTTTTACCATTTCTGTTGTTTGTTTAAATTACAATTGTAAACATCGAAATACTCTATCATAACGAAGAAATGCAAACAACTTTGAATTTGTAGCTGGTGAATGCATTGAGAGCAAGCGACTGCAACAATAACAACGAGCAAGTTCAAAGAGTTTCGGTCAGCTTGAACTCGTTTTCTATTCGTTTCTATCTGATTATAATCACATCATCACAAAACGACTTCGGTTTTTGCATCAGTGTGCAGTACAATTTCATATCATTTTCTTCTTCTTTCTTTTGTTTTGGTTTTTAAAAACGTTCGTCATCTCACAGAGAACCAGAACAACTCCATCGACAAGAAGAATTGAAAAATAAGAAACAGGCTCGTTTTCAATCGACAACATTATTGCAACGGAACGACAATAGGCAATAAGGACTTAAATAAACATGATCAATCGACTTTTGCTGCTATTGCACCTCATCGGTGCACTCACTTTATTGTTAGTTAACGCAAAAACCTATGAGACTGACGACGCGATTATCGTTGAAGTCGATGGTAAGTGTGAATTCCTTTTTAAACGTGAGAAAGAATTTTTTCGATCATTTTATTGATAATTAAAGAATTTCAGTCCAAAAATAACGAAATGTAAAAAAATCCATTTCTTTCACATAAATTGAATTGGACAAAAAATCGTTGCTTTTAATCGTTGCATTTTATTTTTATTTTTTCTCAAATCAATGTCATTTCAGCTTAATGTCTTGTCAATTTTACGTTTTTGAAAAGTATTTTGAGAAGTATTTTGAGGATATTTCCTCTCTCTAGTCGTAAAAAACGAAAATTATTTAAAATCGTCGTCCAATTTTACAATCGACCATTAAAAAAACTGAAAACGACTCAGTTGCATAACGGGAATTACGGATTTCGGTTGAATGGCCTCTGCAATAGAAATGATTTCGATCCATAAAATTTTGCCAAAAAAAGCAGTCAGGTTCAAGTTCGAATTCTTTTATGTGGATGCCGCAAATTACAGCCAAAAATATTCCTTCATTTGGCTTAAGTTTGGATATTTTTTTTTCAGATTCGGTTACATTTTATGTTTGCATTCAGCGTTGAGGCTATAATAATAAATTTATATGGTTTTATCTGAAATTTACATTTAATGTGCAATTACGTTTGTATAATGCTCTCTCTCGATGATAATAAGATGAGCGGAAAGAAACACGAGTGAAAGGATCAAAAGAGGAAAAATATTTGGAAGGCATATAAAACAGTAACAACCACGGCAAAAACAAATGCGAATTTTGTGTGTGTGTGTGAGTGTGTGGTTTTTGAAGTGCATGCAAACCGATAAAGAATTAAAATTCACAGCATACAGCGTAAACTATTGATTTTTTAAGTGAATTCTTTCATTCCAATTTACATTTTGATATCTTTTTCACGATCCCTTTCGTATACGCGTCTCATAAATTACACTTATCGTCAATTCGGTCGTATTTATATTTTTACATGGATTTTGGTTGAATTTTGCATCTTTTTCGTTACACGTAAATTAAAGTTTTAAAAATCGTATATTGACCCCCTTAATTGAAGATCTTAAAGAAAAGTAGCGCCAATCGACGAAAAAAAAAGAGATTCATGACGGCTGTCTCCCAGGAAAAATAAGCGGATCGAAAATGAAGTCGCGATGACCCCAGCCGATATTAATTGATTAATTCTGTGACGCAAAACATATTAGAAACTACCTATAAATTATTGCCCAAAGTTCAACATATCCAACTGGGTTCGAAGTATATGGAAAAATAGACAGCATGATACAGACAATATTTTGTTCAAATAAATGTTATCGTATGTCAATGATCTTGTATAACATTTGTTTTCGGCATTAATTAATTTCCACAAAATGCCTATTGGCAACAAGAACGTGATCGTCTCAAATTATGGGTGTAACAAGTATTTCTTTTGAGTGTTAAAACAATAAAAAAAGTTAAGAGATATTCAGAATATTACCATCAATCAATTTTGAAAAGAAATCCACCAAAACACCGGGGTTTACTCAATTGTACTTCAACTTATTTGAAAAAAATTCGAAGAGCGAAACACTTTTCAATTTTTGGAATTTTATTTCGTCATCTTCAATTTTATTTCTGCGCCGCTCCAATAAAACAAAGAAAGTTTTCTGCTAAAAAAAGTATCACATTGTGTATTCGTACACGTGTTTGTTTGTGGTTTCGGTAAAATGAGTGTTCTGCGATTTCGAAAATCAATGGAAATCATTAGCAATTTCGGATCATCAATCAATAAAGCGGGACTCAAATTCTGATCACGTAAATTTCATCAAAAAAAGTGTGCCTTTTGCAATTAACAAATACGTCAAACGGTATTTTCGCTGCAAAAAGAAAGAAATTGTGCAAAATTTGTCGTCTCTTCTGTTCTACATGCGATTCGATAGACGAACGGCACATGCGCTTATGTGTGATCGGCAGATCGAAAGCATGGCATTTTTACGTCATATGCTTTTCGAAATGTTGAATTCGATGGTACTATTTTTTTTGTTTGCTTGGTGCAGCCACAGAGCTGGCTTTGTTTACAATAAAGGCGATTTGATTGCTTCCTGATCAGCACGCAATACATGTGCCATCGTCCATTTGCCATTCAAAGCATATTCACAACACCATCCGTATTCCGTAAGAAACGTTAGAGTGTTCGCACTCATAAAACTTAAAATGATGAAATACAAGAAATGCAACTTTTGATTTCACACACACACACACAGTTTCTATACATGTTTTCAATTTGCCATAAGTTTACACACTGGTCAAGCACATGCGGTATTGATATTAGATGTGCCTGTACTTGCACTTTCTCTATTTCTTTGTTTTTTTTTTTGCAAATCAAACGCACATCTTTACGCTGAATGACCATTATCATCGTCTTTACTGTCACGTCACATCATAGGCCAACGTAATCATCACTCTCTTACAAATATATGCTCTCTCACACACATGCTCACATCAAACTCATTCCAATGCAGAGATAGATTGATAGATTCCTTCCAGTGTCTTTTATCAAAGTGGAAATGGCTATGGAACGATTTTCAGTCGATGATTGTTTGAATGACGTCACTACGCGTTCCATTGTCATAAACACAATTTTAATGGAAGTTCCGACGCATGCTTGTGCAAATAAATCATCGGCTGCAGTCGTTTTGCATAATTTATTACAAGCCATTAGCCGAAACCATCAATTTATAGCCATTATTGCGGAATATATTAAAATTAGATATCAAAATAAGCAATTCCACATATGAAAGATTTTTGCAAATATGCACTTATGTGTTTTTTTAGCGATTTCGATTGAAAAATACGTTTAATATATCAATAAAAATGAATCATTCTTGAAGCCCACTTTTCTGCCATTTGATTTCGTGTCGTTTGAAATGTACTTTCTTTTTTTTCATCTGTTTCTTTCACCGAATAGCTGAAGACACGACACAAACGGAATCGCGCTCAAAACGTGATATCAATATCGTGCTTCGTGATATAACCCATAATCCAGTAACGACGTGGGGAAACCAATTTGGAGAAGGTGGTGTTTGTATTACCGCCAAAGCAACATTTGGAAAATGCACTTCGTTCAAAGCATGCTATCCGTATTTTAAAAAAGTTCCAAATCTATCTGTATTTGATACATGGGTATTGGGTCAGTATGACACATGCACCTATTACACAGGTGATGGTCGTCAAGCGTTTGGCGTGTGCTGTATTGATCAACCACAAACATCCGGCATCGCTTCAATTGTACCAGAAAATGGGCCAATCGCTTCAATTACACCAGTCAAAGAAGACGATAACATTATTGTGGGCAACAAAGATTCGACCAATTGGCCGCCACCATTCATCACACATCCACCGAATCATGCCGCTCCGACACATGCACCCACAGGTACATTACTTAAAATTTAGTGCAATTCCTGATGTTTTTTTTTATTCGAGAATCTCTTTTCAAATTAGGATCTTGGCCAAATGGCGGACCACCGAGCACAACAAAGCGCCCAATTTGGCCGCCACCTCTTCCCACACATCCGCCATCCGGTTCGGCCATTCCAACGACGAAATATCCAACGATCACAACAAAACCGCCCCTCAATGATATGCCGGTTGGTAATTACTGCGGGTCGAAGAATGGAAATCAAGATCAAGAACGGATCGTCGGTGGACATGACGCAAGTTTGAATGAATGGCCTTGGATCGTACCGTTGTTCAATAATGGTAGATTACTTCAAATTAAATGCAATTCCTGCTGTTTTTAATCGACAATCTCTTTTTCAAATTAGGCAGACAATTTTGCGGTGGATCTTTGATTGATAACCAACATATTTTAACTGCCGCCCATTGCGTTGCACAGTAAACTTTTTTTCATTTGATTTCAAAACATTTTGTGTGTGTAAATTATATTGATTATCATTTTAAACAGTATGACATCATCCGATGTATCTCGAATGACAGTCCATTTGGGTGATCATAACATTCGTACAACATACGAAACACAGCATCAAGTTAAGAGAGTGAAGCGAGTTGTAAGACATCGTTCATTTGATTCGAGAACGTTATACAATGATGTTGCTTTGCTTACTTTGGAGTCACCGGTTCAATATACCAGAAATGTACGACCGATTTGCTTGCCACGATCGGGAGATCAATTTGGAGGAAATTATGGCACTGTTATCGGCTGGGGAAGCGTAAGAGAAAGTATGTGATCGAAAGCAATTCTTGCAAGCAAAATCATTCGCATGAAACTAGGAAATAATGCCAGTGTTGATATAGAAGAAATTAAATCCCCTAATTTTATGCAATCCATTTTAATTTTGTATAGATGGACCACAGCCGAGTGTTTTGCAAAAAGTTTCGGTTCCAATTTGGTCGAATGCTGTGTGTCGTCAAAAGTACGGTGGAGCTGCACCAGGTGGAATAATTGATTCAATGATTTGCGCTGGCAAGGATGCCCGTGATTCGTGCAGCGGTGATTCTGGCGGTTCGTTTTGATTTGATTTTATGTATAAAGCAGAAAACTGAATTAATGAGGTAAATAAAAAATCGTTGGTCTTTCCAGGTCCATTGATGGTGATGAATGGTCATACGTGGTATCAAATTGGGGTAGTCAGTTGGGGCATAGGTTGCGGACAAGGCCGGTATCCTGGAGTTTACTCACGGTGACTTTTCAGTCTAATATTTTGAGTTTGTTTTCTTTTCTCTAAATTGCGTTTGCTTTCAATGGTTTCAGTGTATCATCTTTCTTGCCATGGATCACGAAGAATCTTGCAACAAAATAAAACGATCGAAATAAAATTTATATTTATTCTCGCCCTATTGACAGGATCAATAAATTTTACTACTCTTGAGCGACACGGTTACTATTTATCAACGTAACATACGTTTAATTAGATTTTCTTTTAGCAAATAATGAACAATTTTTTTCGATGGTCAATTTTTTTTTATTATTTTGTATTTCAAAAAATAAAATACATAAAATCACATAGATTTCCCAGTTTTGAAACAAGTATGAAATTCGTTTATAAAAATTAGTAATAAAAAGAAATAAAAGGGAATCGATTTCACACTACGTGTGCGGAAAAGTAGAAAAGCTTCTTGTTTTTTTTTTCTTATTCTTCTGAGAGGCAAAAAAAAGTACGGCTCGCAAGAAATAAATAATAAACGAAAATCACGTTCACATTTAGGCTGAATCTTCTCCATAGTACAACATTTTACGGATTGGAACATGAAGCAAGAATTTATTGGCTTCATCAATCAAAAGTGGTTCGATGGTTGCACGGGCCTGTGGCATCATTTCTTTCACCATGAATGGCCAGTATTGATTAACAAATTCCAATGTTACACGATCTAAAAATTCAAAAAAGTTAATTGTAAATACATTGTTTACAAGCTAACGATTGAAAAAAGAAATGCTGTTGATCAATAGACTGTGAAACAAACAATTACATGCGTACGTGCAAAGTCTTGTTTATCACAGATTTGAAACTATAACCCTTTTGGCATTACATATAAACAATTCATTAATTAAATTCACGTCAAACAATTCTATTTTTAGACATCGATAGATTCTAAAAATACGATTGCACTTACTTAATTCAGGGTCTGGGAATAGTCCAGTGGCAAATACTTTGAGATCACCAAATTGTGGTGAAACATCGAATTTTGTTATTTTCACATATTCTTTGCCGTTCACTTCAATGATATCACCTTCAGTTCGGCTGACCAAGCTAATATCGGCTATTTAAATGAAAAATTGTTGTAATTTAGCATAATTGATTTTATTACGAAATATTTCGAGTGAAACTTACTTGCTGTTACATTGAAGTATCCCTTTGATTTGATTTTCAAGCCGTTGAAACGACCTTCTCCCCGGTAATATCCTTCGACAGTCGATTCTGGTACGATTGCTTTGATTTGTGTGCTAATGTGGGTTTTTGTGATTTTCGTCCTGAAAAATTGTTAAAAAAATTAAAATTATTAAAATTGTAATTTTTATTTGAAGTTAATGGATGGCGTGAAAAATCCATGGTTTTGGATTAGACAACAAGACAAAATGTCTTAAAATTCTTGTTTTAAAACAAAAACTTACTTGACATCAGTAATTTTGGCTTTTGAGGCTCCATGAACATTTGCCTTGCGAATGGTACCAGTTGCAACGAAATTCTCTCCTCGTCGGAAGTTCAATGTTTGTGATTCAATCTTATATGGGTCAATTGGTGGAATACGAAGACCAACCAAACCGTTCTAAAGCATAATGAAATGTTTTGAGTTTAACAACATCCACGAAGGGATCAAAATGACGATGGAAACGGGTAGTATAAGAGTACTTACGTTTAATTTTGGCAGCATATCTTGAATGGCTTCTTTTATACATTCATCTCGATCGGGACTATCGATTTGGCAAGTAATGGTTCCGGCAGCTGTAAAACCGACAAACAATTGTAATTTATTTTTGGCTTTATTTCTGATGTCTTTTAAACCTTGATTTGGCAATAAATAATGGTAATTATTTCTGCAAAAAAAAACTTATACCAATGCTAATGACATCCCATTTCGATTATGTGAATTCAATGTTAACAGTTTTTTTTTTAAATGCTCATGATTTTTAAAATCAACAAATACTTTAATGTTTTATCATGATAAAAGTCATGATAAAAGTATTAACAAACTAATTATTTCATAAGCGAAACGTATAAAATTTACTAATGACTTTTGTAATAATGAACGTAATTTGAAAGGATATTTTGTTTCAGTCACGATGACGGCTCTTCTATTGCTAAAACTAACTGATGCGATCATCATCTTGCTCGAGTAAATTATGTAATTTAAATGACACAACCAAATTGAATACAAACGTTGGCTAGAGAAAAAAAACAGGTTTGTCGCTTTTAATGGATCTTTTCTTCACTTCGAAATGGTATAAAATAATTTCGATGAATTCTCGTTAAACGAAGTTAAAATCATCATTTTTCTCATTTTTATTGGTTGCCCACGTAGTGTGCGGTGAGTTCGTGAAAACAACTATTTATGAACTAATTGCAAAATCGCATTGCACAAATTAAAATGTATAAATCGTGGAGTGCGCGTGAGTCCAATTGATTTTGTGACGTTAGTACTTCATCGAATTGAGTCTATTTTCACTTGACAATAATTATATAGTGAGAACGAGAATGACAAGTTACTTTTGATATTTTCACCGCAATTAATAACCATTCCGGTATCATTTATTTTCTTTTGATGTTTTTAATCGGTTGCGCATGTGGCTATTAATCCATTGCGAGCGATGAGAGATCACATTTGGCAACATAATTGAAATTCAGGGGAAAAAAAAACAATATGGAATTTTGCTAATAACTTGATCTCGCGCGACGCATTTTTTCGAAATGATGAAGAAATTTTCGCAATTTAACACCTTGCCGTAAATTAATCGAAATTCATTGATTCACATGCATAAAAAATGTGCATTGTTTAAATGTTTATGTTCTAGGTCAGATGTTCATGCGCGCTTATGCTATTTTCATCCGAGTTTCGCCTTTTTCTTTTGTTTGCTTTTCAGTTATTCTCGAAACCAGTTTATCGCAATGTCATCAACAAAATCTTACTCTATTATAATCAGGTAATACGAAACTTGAATTCACAACGAGAGTGAAAAAAAAAATCAGAAATAAATTCAAACTTGAACTCAATTCGCATTCAATTATCAGAATAAAACACGGGACAAAATCGATCATGATTGTTGTGGATGATCTCATAATATTTTAATTGAGCAAAATGATTGAAACAAAAAAAAAAACGAATTTGGCGCCGTTTGCTTGAAAAGTGAGAGTTGAGAGAATTTGAAGAAAACAAAATAGTAGAACCTGTATTTTGTTCAACTTTGAGTATAAACAAATACAATTTGATAAAAATAAACGCTTGCCAAATTGAACTAGTGTAACAGGAAGAAACTACTAGAAAAAATGAAACACCATAGAAATTTGGATTTTGGAAAAGACAGGGACTGTTCCTATGAAAGGAGCAGAAGAAGATGGAGAAGGAGGAAAAACATGTTGATCGAAAAGCTATTTTTATCACAAAAATATCTTTTTTGGTTAAAAACATCTTCGGCAAATCCTCCTCACCATTCTTTCCCCACCTAGGAACAATCTCTCATTTAAATTATGCATATTTTCGTCATTTCACCCGATTACATATGAAATCAAAAAATTGACATCGATTTGACATCGACTCATACGAAAATCCCTTGATTTAAATAAATCTTCTGATTTTCAAAATTCTAAGTTATTGGCTCTTGGGCCAATCCAACTTAAAGAAATCTACAGCACTTAACAAAATCTCGACTACATGTAAATCACACGTTAAAATAGCAAACAATTTTTTTAAATGTAAAACGAAATTTCTAGAAAAAAACCAAAGAAATACCGATTTCCACAATTTTTGCAATTTAAAATGCGCACTTAAGTGACTTCAATCTTGAACTTTTTTACATAAAAAATGAAATATGAATGAAGTCAAGAAAAAAAACGTTAAAAATCACTTACGCAATTGGAAGTCATCGTCTTGCGTGTCAGCCGCTACAAAAGCGACGAACAAAACTAAAGCGAAAATTTTCATCATTGTTAACAATTAAAACAAAACTACACACACAGGATAGTTAACAGCAACAGAAAAAATAAACAAGTTGAATTAAAAAAAAATATATATATTTCCGATGTAAACGATTGAGCGTCAAGTGAACAAGTAACCGTCACAATTTAAAATCGGTTGTATTTATATGTCCAGTTGGCCGGTGGTGTCCGTACTGGCTACAACAAAGAATCAAATTGATTTGCATTATCTGTTTGAGTGGATACATACATTCGGTGTGGGCAAGGGGAAAATCGGTACTGAAATACTAAATATACTCAGAAGTATTGAAAAGTACCGAAAAGTACCGAAACGTATCAAAACATACCCAAACGTACTAAATAGGTATTCGTTTCAAAAAAATAGTGAATAATTTTTTCATGTTTTCGACTGTCTTTTTGGTGTTACATGGCAAGCTTGTATGAAACTCTCGGAGACTCGGTATAATGCACAAAAAAGTGAATTTTTTTTTTCGATATTTTTGTGCACTATACCAAGTCTCCGAGAGTTTCATATAAGCCTGCCATGTAGTAGCAGAAAGACAGTCGAGAATATTGAAAAAAAAAATTCGTCTTTTCGACTGTCTTTCTACTACTACATGGCAGGCTTATATAAAACTCTCGGATACTTGGTATAGTGCACAAAAATATCGAAAAACATTTTTCACTTTTTTTGTGCATTATACCGAGTCTCCGAGAGTTTCATACAAGCTTGCCATGTAAAACCAAAAAGACAGTCGAAAACACGAAAAAATTATTCACTTTTTTTTGAAACGAATACCTATTTGGTACGTTTTGGTACGTTTTGATACGTTTCGGTACTTTTCGGTACTTTTCAATACTTCTGAGTATATTTAGTATTTCAGTACCGGTTTTCCCCTTGGGTGTGGGTCTGTGTGTGATATGTTGCGTATTTTGACCTTGAAGCGTATTTCACACAGGTATAGAATTGCCTGGTTAGAGCGGGTTAGAGTCCGAGAGACTTTATTTGTGTACAATGCGAGAGAAACAAACAACAACAAACCTAGTCAGTTGTGCTTCTATTCTGCTTCTATGTACTTTTAGTGTTTTTTTCACGCGATTGTCCGAGCATTTACAACTCATACTTATGCATTTCATCATCATAATCATCGTATAAACAACAATAATAACAGTTTGCGTTCGTCTCGTGTTTGTGTCAACACAGTAAAATGCGACTCAAGCTCTATTCAATTGTGGATTGAACTTAATCACAGTCTCACTCAATTACAGGTTTAACATGCACACGGTGTTGCACGTTTTTCTTTGCTTTTGTTGTCAATTTTGGTTTTCAACATGTTTCTTCTAATTTGATCTCGCTTTTATGTTGTATTGTTTTTGTGTGATACGAGAACAAATTTCTACATTATACCGCTTTTATAAATAAGTTATTCTTGGCACTTGTTATGCCTAATTTCCATAGAGCACACATATATAAAAGCGATGATTGTTTGTGATGTGCACGCTATTCACATTCACCGTGAAGTATTTATTGTTGTAATAACTCTTCTGTTCGCCACCTTCTTTTATTTCTAATTCGTATTTTTTTCTCTCAATATTTCACACTTTGTTTACGAATGGCTTTTGGGGTATTAGTTAAGCAAATATAAATAGCCATTTTTCTTGATTAATTTTTTTTTGTCGTAAGATTTGTTTAAAAAGAAATGAAAGAGACAGAAAAAAACGTCACTATCGATTTCAATGAATCTTAAAGTCTCGACATTTATTGGCGGCGCAATATTTGATATGGCTGAAAATCACAATTAGCGCGTATACTGTAACGCAATTCAAAAATTATAATTGTCCATGATATTTATATTGCCGCTTATTTTTTTAATGATAAATGCCATTGCTCTTGGGCCAAGTACTCGAGGTGAATAAAATACACACCGGTATTATTTAGATGAAAAAAAAACGAATCATATTTGATTTTAATTACATTTTTTGTTGTTGTTGAAACCAATTAAATATGTATAATTTGCCCACATTAGTACTTCCTCAAGAAGAAGAAGCGTAATGACAAAAATTGCATATATTCAAATCGGTTGATACACAACACAGCGCTCTAGCACTTAGGTGGAGCATTCAGTCATAACGGTCATCATTATTATTATTATTATATTGAAAGTAAAATCAGATACCATTCTTTTTTTTGCGAAAAACATCCATAAAATTGTTTATTCATTGATTTTCTGATGAGAAAAAAATAGAAAAAAAACACTTATAAAAACATCGACTATAAATTGTGAGCGTCTAATGATGACGTTTCGAAACCCAGTTGTGACGAAGAATGATTTCAATTTTCGTTGACGCTCATGGAATGGAAACTTGTTTCGTTTTGGAACATTCGAGTTGAATGTTTGGCACATTTGTTTTTTCTCGAATGGTGAATGAAACCTGATCGAATTGATAGGACAAAGTTTTTTTTAAATAAAAATATTGATACAAAAATATGTTACAATGACCGCTTGCCATAACATTGAAATTTTCGAACATACTTTTGATAGACTTTTGATACTTTTCGATGGACATCTCAGGTGTTTCAAGTGAGAACAATCAAAATTTTCTGGAATGAAATTAATTTCAAAAATTAAACTATGGATGGTGGTGGTGCAACCTTCAAATCTATTGACAGAAACAGTTCATGCGAAAAAATAGCGCCAAATGAATTAAAATTAAAAATCCATCTACGCCGCTGTGACAAAATCTACCACAACTCCATTGTGTGATAAAATCCACAAATTGTAACGAATAAAATTTGTTTAATGACACCAGACGCGACACTTTGCGGTGAGTCCGATGTCTGTACAATAACCGTCTGCTTTTGTTTATTCTATTAATTAAAAGCTTTTGCCGATTCCGTTTTGCTTACATCTGTGAAGAATTATTGGCTTTTGACATGATATGCGAATTTAATGCAATCACAGATATATTTAGACATTTCTAATAACAGAATTATCATACATAAGATAATCACACAAACAACGTATTGTTATTGTAATAGGGAAGTTATTTGTACACTGTGTCATCTAACTGACGATGTTTTGATTATAATACAAATTAATTGATATATATTCACTATTTTTAAGTTCACTCTTTTGAATAAAAGGGGACAGACATTCCTTTTGAAATTCTCCACATAGAAATCTTTTCAGTTGAATAACGGTCAAGATATTATATTATATAAAAATTAAAATGGAATGACTTGTAACGAAAAATAGCAAAAAAAAAAATCTTAAATTGACCTTTGTTACTATCTCATTACTACCCAAGGAACAATTGTTGGCGCAAAATCATCCATTCCAGGCATATGTTCACAGTCAAAATTGGGCCCGGATTTGTGTGTAGTTTCAGTCATATTCAACATCACCAATGGAAGAGAAAAAGAGAAAAAAATCAATTAGTATAATATAAAAGTTGATTTGATTCATAGTTATCAGTAGCGCTTTTTTCAATGAAGTCTACTCACCTACAAACGTACGAGATGTACGCGGTGCAGTTGTACGACTATCCCAATGATCCAAAATTGGATTCATCAAGACCTAATTTTTATCTAATTAGTTTGAAAGGCCACAGATAGCACACTTATGTATACTAAATCAAGCCTAGCTAAGTAACATTCGTTACATTATTTTTTCTAATCTTAATACTAAATGACGTCGGTGTTTGTTTATTAATTGTCAAGCACATGCACAATGATATTTCCAAACTGGTCTTCCTCCCAAATGCCTTCGCCGTTATCCGCTACGTTGTACCACTCGTCGTAGTTCTCATAGAACCATTCGTCGTACCAATTGTCGTCTTCATCGGCTGGCTCATCAGGTAACTGGACATGAGGTGGTGGTCGTGGACGTTTCAGTGATGGATGGATTTCTTCACCGAACACCTCACAATGGCCTATCATTGAAAACACAACGAACCAAATAATAAACATTCAAACAAAATCTAATAAATCAATTTCGATTACCTTTGTACATGATACATTTGGCCGCAACTATGTCCCGGTCCCAAACTGTTTTGGTTTGCATTGCTACATATACCCATTCACCGGCGTCATTTAGTTCCATTTTGAATAATACTACGATTTTGGGAACTAAACGTGGTTGTGGTGGATTTGGATATGCAACAATTGGCTGAACAACATTGTTTGGCTGGGCAGCTTGTTCCAATCGCTTTCGTTTGCGAAGACGTTGCATTTGTCGCTTACTCATTTTTGTGATGATAACCTTTGGCAAAATCATAACACCGTCTCGTACTTGATATCCAGTCTGCAGGCAGTTGTGGCACACTTTGGAGCGATGACTCTTCGTACGTGGATCAAAACGATTGATACATTTGGCGCAATGCTGTGATGTATTCCATTCGTCAATGAATTTGATGACAACATTTCCTAGTTTCTTGAAACTGGCCACCAGTTTGCGTGTGCCCGGACATCGTTGACGTTTTTTAATGCCGATAGGTGAGTTCGCAGCACTACCACTAGCACCGATGTATGCCATAGTTGGTTTTCCATTTGTCAACATTTTGGCTGTTTCATCACTTGCATGAACAGAATCAGAGTAATGATCGAATTTTAACCGAACATATTTTCGTTGCGAATACACAGCAAGGGCTTTGTCCATCATTGCGACTCGAGTTTCGATGTAGAATTTCCAAACAAATTTTCCTTTTGGAGATGGCATGAAAATGAACGATTCCATGTGCGCTCTTTCCTCTTCCTGGAATTCCTTTCGATATCTTTTTCCTTTTTTCTCGCGCTGATTGTATCGAGCCAGCCAGTGGTATTCTCTTGCGTCAACGGTGATGTTTTCCTATAGCACATAAACGACAAAAAAAACCATATAAATAAATTGAATGAATATGGCATTGTTTCGATACAATCAATTCAACACATCAAAATCACTAATAACTGGGGATACAAAAAAACACATTTGAAATATTTACCTCTGTGTCGGTTTCAATGTGACGACGAACAGTGGCATTCCATGTGCGAAAACCCGGATCAATGCCAATTTCATAAACGAAACACTTGAGAACTTCGAACATGTGACGAATTCGTTCCCATGATAATCCGATCGACTCAGGTTTTATTGGTTCGATGTACACCAATGACACTGCCACGTTGTCGGTGAGAGCGAGAAATTCGAATTCTTTTCCTTTGCCGAGCTTCTTAATTTTGTACATGTCGAATACGTAGTTCCAACAGGAAAATGGATTCTCCTTGTACTCCGCATAGCTGATGTTAATTTTGCCATGTTTTCCTTTACGTCTTTTCAGTGCACCAATTTTGCATGCCATGAAATAGAATTGCGTATGATCAATGCTGATGTGTTTTAGTTGGTTGTCGCATATTGGAATTGCATTGAAATTTCCTATTTTCGGTGGTGCGGGCTCAGATGGCTTTGGCAAATTACGATTGTTTCGATATTTCTCCCACAATGAACACAGATAATTGTTATTTCGATGAAATTCGTCGATCGCACGTTGAATTTTCAAGAAAAAACGAAGTGACGCAAACCAGTTTTCTTCGACGTATTTTTTCAATTTCTGATTTACAGGCACACCAATTTTTTCCGCTTCCGCTATCAATATATACATGTTGTGCGTTCGAATTCCTGTTGTTCGTGCATAATATTGATGTACTACAGCAGACACAGCATGATTCACATCTTTGTCTGTGATTAACTGTTCATCAGTACTATGAATCCGTAGCATTCGATTCAACTCGTATTGTTTCATAGTGAAAAACTTCTTTATGTGGGATTTGCACCAGGTGTTAAGATTGGTTTGAACATTCTTGATGTATTGATCGACAATTGCATTGAATGCATTTCCTATGCCATGACGATGAGGCCAAATAAAACGAGGACAGGCTCGTCTCACGATCGACAAAAATTCAAACGGCAAATTTTGATGGTTTCCGTAGAGTACATCGTGGAAGTAATTATAAATTACCTCTTTGCCATTGCCATCGAAAAAGTCTGTATTTTCGTCGCATTCATCCTGGTCGATGGCTTTGTTTGCGTAATAAAGTAGCAACAATGAGGCCAGTGTGGAAATGCGCGTTGCTGCGAGGCACCATGTGAACACTAAAATACGAAAACTTTTCCGAAATTTTGGACGCAAAATGGTGTTCAGGGTTTGTTTGACGGTCCTATTTTGTGTGTTTTCATACTCTCCTTCTTTCTTGCGCTTCATTTTTCACCTTTCTTTTGCTTCAAATCGATCGTATGCACTTTATATTCTGAACCTCACCCAACGAGTATGTTGTCTGAACTGAAACTGTCAACGATCAAAATGATTCTCGTTTGCGAAAAATCCTTGCAGTTTGTCACACAGTCTTAAATCATCGTTTCGTTGCGTTACAAATGTGTGCCTCAATGTGATGATGTGACAATTTTCAAGCACACTTCATTCCAATTTGGATCATTCGAATTTCACATTTTGATATGAATTCTCTTTCTTAGAAACAATGAAGCAACATTCACCAAAAAATACAATAAACAAATTCACTGCGTTGATCGAACGATTGACACAAATGGTGATGAAATTTGGATTTCTTGTGTTGCTATTTTGTGGATGTTCTGTTATTTTAAACTAAAAACAGAAGCAAACTCAAAACTCACCGTAAATGCTTCCATTTATTTTAAAATCGCACAAAAATGCATATTGATTTGAGAATGAGCGGAAAATAAATGATGAGTTTATTTGATTGTATGCCGAACACAATGTTTGCGAATGATTCTAGATTTCTAATTAACCGCACAACAATCACTGAACAGAATCAAGCAAAATAAAAGCCAAAAGCAGCGAAATAATTAACAAAAAAATGAGGGCCAATGCGATTTTCGTTGTGACAGCAACTAAATTCTGTAAATCGGCAATGTGACCAACAACAAATGTCATACAAATTCAATTGAGATGCCGATGCGATGTGTTAATACTAATACAAAAACCGAATCTGAGTTACTTGAACACAGCACATTCGCATGCTCTTTTCCATGAAAACTTATTCACATTGAAATGTTGTGTTGATTTTTTTCTTCAAACGCACAACAACAACACCATTCTATACATCTAAACAATGAGTGAAAAGAAATACGACGCTTATAACGATAATGTTTACAAAAATTCAATAACCATGAATTTTTTGTTTATTCATCCTTTTCACTCGCTTCGCTTGCCAATCGTTTTGTTTATTAACATAAGAAGTAGTAAGAAACTGTATCATACAAAGTCATACTATGTGTGTATAGAAATGTATGTAAGCCAACGAAAGCAAAACTGAATGTAATGTTCATGGATATTCTTCAGCGTCTGAAATAGCCACTTCCACCAACACCTCCGAAAAGGCATCCAAAACTGTAAAACAAAAACGTTAGCCCTTTGAAGAAGTCTTATAAGAACAGTTGAAAAATCATCATTTTTTTCTATAGAAAATTGATATCGATTGTAAACTATTTATGCCTATAATCTACCTTCCATTTTACACGAAAATGACCACCGAAATGGGAGAAAGCGTTACATTTTTCAACGTTAAAATAGATAAAAAACGTTACATTTTTGTTTGCTGGGTATTGTTATCGATTGTTATCTATTTCTGGAAAAAGATGTCTTACATCCGTAAGATGAACTTTTCCGCACTGTGATCCACAACATGCATTTATTACATATCTTTTACTCAAATAATTCACGAGAAAACTAAATCTGACATTAGTTTTGCGATGAAAATAATTTCCGATGCACTTTTCATACAAAAATTACTAAAAATTTGAATTTTTGTATGGTTTTCAATGCGTTTTTTATATCGTAATGACGTGAAACTTTGCACAGGGTATTTCTTCCGAATTCAACGTTAATTTTGAGATACAATCAATTTTTAACAGAGTTTCTCTGAAAAAATCGCGAAAAATTGAATTTTTGTATGGGTGCCATGCTTTTATGTATCTTTAATGACGTGGAACTTTGTACATGCTATTTTTTACACAAAAAAATCATTTTGAAAGTTTGAAGTATTTTGTAAGGGGAGTACCTCTATTTGTGATTGAAATTTCTCCCAATTTGGTGAGATTATGTATTTTGGCAAGAAAATAAGATTCACAAGTTTCCACGGCGATTAAATCATATAGTCGGGGTATTTTGTTGACTCGAAATTGATCGAATTTATTTCCAAAAAGTATGCTTGCAGTAACTTAATCACAATTAAAACTTGTGGATCTTATTTTCTCTTCAAAATATATATAATTTCACCAAATTGGAAGACATTTCAATCACAAATAGAGGTACTTTATACGTCAATACTTTATTAATTGGCCAAAAAACTTGACTGCTCTAAGATATTAGAATTCGGTAGTTATTGAATTAGTACTGCACTACCAGTGCATGTTCAATATCTTTCGGGAAATAAGTATTCGTTAAAGGAAGAAATTTGGAAATAGTGCGGAAAAGTTAGACTTACGGATGTAAGTTCCTTTTTATTTTACTTTGACGATTTTGTATTTATTCGATTTTTATTTATAAAAAATCAATTTTTTTTTATACATTTTGGAGTTTTTTTTACCAAAAACTCGAACCAAAAAATTATTTAAAATTAATTCCAAGAAACAACCAGTCAATCCGAGTCTTTTGGAAGTCGAAACCTCATTTTTTCTCGAGGACCAATTTTACAAAAATGATGTCACACTTTAAAAATCGGAGCCTGCTATAGTTCGAAGCGGTTAAAAGTTATTGAATACACTCCAGACAGAATGGTTAGTAGTGTAGTCTTGACTTAATGACAATAATTAATGACATTTTCATTTTATCTCGAATTTTGACAGTTTTCAGGAGATATAATTTAAATTGTGGCTTCCGTAATGAGTTCATACTCTCAGGCATATGACAATGAACTGGAAATCTGTTCAATGTCCGTGCGATGATCAACAAAAATGACAGCTTTATTTGCGTCAGACAAAAAATTACACATTTCTCAGCTTATAAAGAGTCTAATCAACTTTCAATAATAAACAAAGGAAACAAAACTAGTTCTTAGTTGCTTCATCCAAATAGAACAATTATCATCAAATCGAAAAACCAAAGTCAGCATAGAATTTGATCTTCATACAGATTATTTTTATAGTTACAAATGTAACCAAGAATAAAACAAAAACCAGCAAATACAATTTCTTCAAAATTTATTTGAAAATTTCCTCAAGAAAAGAGATAAATTGTATGTTAGTTGACAATATGAATCATTATTATAAGTTTGGTTCTAATAACTTTGCAACTAAATGTAACGAGAGAAAAAAAAAGTCGGAAATATTCCTAAATTTACACATTCAATAAATTGAAAATCAAAAATCCACTTAATTTACTGGGGTCACAATCACAAGTGCCCTCCGGACAGTAAACTGTTGATGCAATATTCCGTCTGTCCAAGCGCGCTCTTGTTCTTCTTTCGCATTTACTTTTTATTAAATCCAAGTCTGTCAAAGACACTAGACGCTGATGCTGTTTTGATTGGATTTTGATGGCCATTTTTCAATGTTGTGCCCAATCGTGAACCGAGCGACACACGACCGATTCGATTCACTAATTTACTGACTTCGGGACCATTTTTCATCGACAATCTGCTCTTTACCGATTTTTTTAATTCATCCGATCTCATCTTCGATCTCGATATATCGATCTGGCCATTGGCACGGTTTACTGGCTGTTTCAGTTTGACAATTTTCTTTTTACGAAGAATTAGTTTATCATTTTTTATCATTAAACCTAATCGAGTTCGAATACTTTGACCTTTGGCTAATTGAATTCGACGTGGAACGATTTTTTTTCTCGATTCAATCTCAAGAATTTCATCGATTGATGAGAATTTTACGGACTTTTCACCGGTTTCCATGCGCTCGGCATCATACTCATCAGCTACCATAGTGGCTGCTTTAGCTGGGATTCGTCTCACCAAAATTGCTTTCTGTTGATCCCTTGCACTCTTTTTTATGCTCACAATCTGTAACAAGAAAATTCGTACAACACATGAGTACATTGATTTTGGGGCTATTTTCATTTTTTAAGGAGACATGACTTACTTTCTTTGGTGCACTTTTTAAAATGCCAGCAAATGCAACGGCTCTTTCATCGTCCATATCAATATCGTCACTTTTTCCACCAAGTCGCGAAAAAATTGATGATGATGTTGATGCCACATTATTGAGTCCAGTGATTTTGATCTGCGGTTGAACCGAGACTTTCTTTGTTTGTTCCAATCGATCGAATATTCCGACTTTTTTTTGCTCTTGGTCAGAGTATACTTTATGGAGGAATAAATGGTTAAAATTAGTCAAATTTCTTCAACAGAGCTGGTATTGGCATCGGAGAAGAGCGGGCACTAGTGAGTGGTCATAATTAATTCATGTAATATTTAAAGTGACTCACATGAAAGAGCAGAAGAAAGGTGCCCGCATCTCCACGTTGCCTAAAACAGCTCATCTAGCATAGGCCACTTTCAGCGAGTAATACAATGAAAAGAAAAATGCTGGAATGAAGTACTTACACATTGCTTGTTTAGCTAAAATCTCTTTACTGCGTTCCGTTGAACCCGACGGTAGCGTAATTTTATAGCGTCCCTCATGTTCAGGTAATACACGTCTTGCTGGCTTTCTCGATGGTTCATCATCGGATTTTCCTTTGCCATCCACTTTAATACCTGGAAAATATCAAAATCATCATAAATAAAAGGTTAATCTTTTATTCTGAATGAATTCATTCAGAAAATAAACACATCGATTCATTCCACGTGTCTTACTTTGTTTTGATACTGATGAAGCAATCAAAGGAGTGACTGAAGCGGTTGTTATCGTTTGCTTTTCGGCCGACAGTATTTTATCGCGTGTAGTCTGTTCATTAACTTTTTTTGCATGCCTAACCATAAGAATAAATTACAATTTGTTTGATCAATAATAATCCAATCATTTGCCGAATAATAAGTGATATGATTTGATGTTTTACCGTAAAATGGATATGATATCGCCCATTGGTGTGATGCCCATTTCTCTTAAATATTCTTTATTCAAATCCGTTAGCATATCCAAGTCCATTCGATTTTCATAGAAAATGTGAGCGTATGTTGCTGCCGCAGCTGATGGTACACCAGCCGATTGAAAAAACTTCACCCATGAATCTGTACCAAAAATACCAAGAAATCATCATGAAAAACCCGAAAAAACACAAAATTAAACTGATTCATCAACTTACTTGCACTTGCGACCATTTTTGGGTATGTTTTGTTCGTTTCCACACCAAAAAAAATAAATACGGAAAAATGTTGTAACAAAGACAACACGACAGAAAGATTACACACTGATTAAATAAATACAAAAAAAAACTCTTTTCCAACAAACTAAAACACCAACTTTGACCAAAATAGCTTTTATGTCGACCTATTCGATTGAAGATGAAAAATCGAAATGAAATGCTCGGCAATTTGCTTCTTTGGAGTGTCCGATTCTAATAATAATTAGAAAAATATGATGAAATGTCAAAGATGCTAATGTCGGCCGCTTCACAGCAACGGTTGTTTTGACAGTTCCCAATGACGGAATCGGTTGGAAAAGTTGCGGTTCAAACGTAATGCTCGTTCACATTTGCATTGAGAAAAGAGACGGTTTTGCGAAGTAGTGTTATTTTTATCAAAAGTTGTTGTCAATTTTTGTTGTTATCTTTGTTTGATTCTAATTAAAGTTTATTTTGATTTTTTCTAAATTCATATTTCAATCACAATGACATTTGGAATTGAACGGTTTGAGACGAGCTTCCTCGTATTTCGTATGTAAATGTATGTCGAATTTCTAGAGGTTGACATATAAATGTCGCCAGTAAATAAAGATAATTCGTCCGTATAAAATGTGTTGATAAGCAAAATAAAGTCCGGACTTTAATTCGAAAAAGAAAAAGATTAAAATGAAAATTGTATTGCGGTACGTAATCAGTCAGCTGTTTACTGCTTACTTCTTCACACACATAAACAAGTGATGCATACAAACATGTTCATAGTATGCATTCGATGCACACATTCACTCTCAACTGAGCTAAATGCCACTCTCTCAACACAAACACACACACACTCGCTCACACAGTACAAAATGTCAATATTTATTCTCTTTCTGTCGTCATGCATTCTACATACAATAAAAGGGCATTACATTTCGTATGATGGCCGTTGTTGGTATGGGTGCGTTATTCATTTACACTTGTAAACAGTATTGGAGATGGGTTCATTTGTACAAACACTGACCGATCGAAAAAAAAAATTCATCGTAGTTTCCATGTATTTGTATATCGTAACAAGAATGGCCAATTCGATGTAAAACAGTGGAACCGTGTGCGATAAAGAGGGAGCGAGAAAGAGAGGTACAGAGGCAAGCCAAGCGAATGAATTAAATTGGTTGGTTATGCTCAGTAGATGATTCTCTTTCCGCGGTGTCAGTCACTCATTCAGAGAAACAATTCGAAAAACGTGTGTAGTTAATCGAAACGAGTACGCACGATGTTAAAACCATATACATTGTGTACACCTTAAGTTTCATTTTAGTTTTCCTAATTTTTGTATTTTTTTTTTCATTTCGTTTTTTCTCTCTCTCTCTTCCGCTCACCGTGTATATTTGTTTTGTTTTCGCTTCTGACACCATGTAATTGAAATCGTGTTTTATGTGCTTAATTTTTGCGCTGCAAACCAATTATTTTGTTTTTTCAAATCAAATAAGTTTCATTACTTTCGTGTTTGCTTCGCTCATTTTGGAAACGCGTTGTATTAAAACCAAATATATAAACATTGTGTATGCGTGTGTTGTGTTCCGAAAATTGAAGGGAACGAAAGAACAAAAAAAAGAACCACTTTAGTATTGTGATACAAAAGAACTTACTTTGCAAAAAATATTAAATTGAAAATGCATGTCGTTGAATAAATATAATTGAATAAATGTGAATAGAGGCGAGATAGTGGTTGAGTCAACCCCAACGAAAGTCATCGAACGAAAAATCGATAAGCAATCGAGTTTTGCTGTGTGTGATTTATCTGTCATCGTTAGAGTGTATCAAATCGGTTCGGTCAAAGGACAATTTTAGAAGCGAATCAAGCAATTGATTTTGATTTTTTTATATTCTCTTCTCTTTTGTCGTTGCTACGTCGTTTGCCAGTTGGAGACACACAGATCAGTTTAGTTCAATCACCGTTGAATCACACAGTTAAATCTCACGACAAAATTCAAGTCCAAGGCAACAGACATCAAAACACAAATGAACTCAATTCATCCGTTCCATTTTGTCCGCATACAGGGAATGCACAGTACTGTGTGAAATTAAATACCCGTCATATAATCTGCAAAATAAAACGCAAACAAAGAATATTTAAGGTGCTTTTTGTTACAGTGCGGTAAATATTCGAACGAAAAAGAAAATCTGGTTTTTCGCTGTTTCAAACACAATCAGTTTGTGCTAGAATAAACAATTTACATGAGAATTGAAAAGTGAAAGAGACACACCGAGCCGTGTGTACTTATGTGTGTGTGTATGTAAAAATTGTCCATAACAAATGCACTTTCTCTAATCAAACACAATTCGCAAAAGTGACTTCGACTGAAAAACCATAATCAAAGAACATGTAATTCATCGATTGAACGTTTGTTTCGCTTCTTCAATTATCGTTTTTGTTTAATTAGTGTACCAATTTTCCGACTGAAACTTGTGCACATATTTCATTTTAATTTGCACCACTCGTCAATCATCATTCTAAGTTCGTAAAGAAAAATTTGTGAAAAAAAAATTTTGCGTCAAGAGTGAGCGAAAATAAAAGAAAGAGAAGAAAATATTTTTGTAAGAAGGCACCGAGCGTACGATTTAATTGAACAACAATTGCTGACTATGGCTACTATTCAACGGCTTACAACCAACAAGACTTGCGATAATTTACACAAAACCCAATTGATCAACGGCTAAAATTAGAGAGAACGATTTTTTGACGGACGACGACCAGCATACATCATATTTTCTGTCGCGAATTTAACGAGATAGTCAGAAAACATTGAATAAAACCGCATTTTCTTCGTCGATAGACGGTGCAAAGAGAAACAGAAAAACAGGTAGATATTTTTCAAGTGATATTTTCTATTTTCGCGTTTCACCAATACAAATTGGCACAAGTCGATTTGTATGCGAGAAAAAAAAAATCAACAACAGCAACTTGAAACCGATTTTTTTTTTGTTGTTCAACAAAGATTACAATGGAATTGGCTTGTGAAATATTTCTATACGTGAAAAATGTACGGCAAACGCAGCGTTCGTTGGTAAATACAGATTACAGTCGAATGAAAACCATGGCAAATGCGATCGAAACAAATATATATATACACAAACACACGCGTAATACAATCATTTGTGATTTCATTCAAGAAAATATTTGCCATTTTATTTGTGAACAATTTTTTTATATTTCATTCAACTTTATGCCACACACAACCCACGCCACAAAATTTTGCTATTATTTCAAATCGTTTTTTGCAAATTTCAATGGGTTTCGGGCTGCAGTTTAATTGCAATCCACAATTTTAACGTTTGCAAAATCGAAGGATACCCTTTTTTAATATCACTTTTGCATAATCTTCGGATCTATGTATATTGAAATGGCCTTTTGCACAATAAACACACTTGCAACATCACCAGCATTTTGAAATGGATTTTATGTTTTGTGATTAAGACGGTATTAGCGAAACAAGTGTTGTACGTTTGTAATGTCATTAGTTAATACAATGTATGGTGAGTGTGTGGCCCGTAAGCTTAAAGTATCTTAATCGATCCGAGATCCAACATAAGCTAATTACTTTTAACTTGCTTTGTCGTCTGTAATTATATGCGACAATCACATCCGCTTGATCGATTGAAAATTATAAGGCGGCATTAAAATTATAAGTATCTTATGAAATTCCTCCGATCGGATGATGGTCCGATGAATACATGGCTACACTCAGATTGCAAGGGTTATTTGACCCCCCTTTTTAATTTCAACTATGCTCGATGACAATAAAATTCGAAGCAAGTTTTAATGGCTGAACATAAAAAAAAAAACAAATTTTCGCTGACCGAATAACAATTATCGTCGAATCAGAGTGTATCGAAATCGCGAGCCAAACGTTATAAAATTAGAATTTTTATGTTTGCTGCTGTGTGGTCGCTCTGAGTAATTGTTTACAGTTTTCTTTCTGCTTAAAGCCAAGGAAAAGAAAGACCAATAAAACCGAATAAATATCACGAGAATAATGTCGATTTGCATAGTACACAAAAACCCATTGTATGTATGTGTGTTTGTCGAGGCCACAAATTCGTTTGCATCTCGGTTGTGATTATTGCAAACCACTGTTGCATTGTTTTTGTTGTTATTGTGTGTGCGCACAAATTAAAAATCGTGCGAATATTGAACGACAGAAAGTAGGAAGGCAAAGAAGAGAGAAAATGGCATTGATGCGGTATACTGTGCACATTCTACAACGTATCGCGGTTTCCTTAAAAAAGAAATGAAACATTGTTTTCACTTTCATGAGAATGAAGTAACAAAAGGCGGTCGCCGATGTAGAAATACAACAACAATTTCAAGAGACTAAACAAATGTTATTACAACCATCATGAAATTGTGCCTGCATTGTTTTCATTGCTCTATGTCGGTATAATAAATTCGCTGGTTTTTTTTGTGTGCATTGCCTTGTTGTTGCCATTTTTCAACCGTTGGCCTTTTGATGTCGCATACTTTCTTGCCACACTCAAAAATGTAGGCTTCGAATTTTCGACATAATTAAATGCTTCAAAAGCGATTTGTTGCTTTGAAAAAATTTGTATGTAGAATACTGCATGTGAAACGCCGCTTTGCCTTGATTAATTCGTTTGAGCGACAAATTTACGATATTTGACGGTCTCGATGTTGAATGTTGGTTGATTTTTCTGTAACAGAAGATGTTGATTGCCGTAAAGATAGATGAGTTTGTATTGAGAGTCTCAAGAGATGGAAATGTGTCGCTGTATGAGAGAATGCTTTGTTTGGAAATCGTTCGTGGCAATCTTTGTGCTTAGATTCAACTCAAATTTCTATCCGTAAGCAATTCGAGACCTTTGGTCATGCATTTAGTCGAATCACATCATAAAGCGCTTCCTACGCTAAAACACTTTGTGATGTTGTTAAAAACGCATATTCACCGCCATTTCTATTGCTATTTTTCTCATTTAATAAATGGAATATTACTCAGAGTTTCGTGAACGTCTCTCTGTGTGTGCGACGATGAGTTGGAGTTGTCTTTTCTGTTTGTTCGTTTATCTCACCTACATCGGCAGCATTTTTTATTCTCTTCTCTTCTTTCAATAAATTGTGTGCTCGAAATCATTGTGGCAACTCCATAAATAATAATATTGTTTCTTTTTTCGTTCAGTATAGTTTATTGCATCTCTCACCACGTTTCGAGTTCCGCTTAACTTGATGCTAATTTTATACTAGGAACTATTGCTTAGACTGTTCATGCCGCTCAATGCACTCACAGTCTCACACACACATACACAAACTTCAAAGAATTAGAATATCATGCAATCTCATTCTCTCATGTTGAGAAAGAAAGCCGCATTTCAGATAAACTCATTAAAATCCGAACCAAAGTGAGATAAAGACGAATAAAGTGTAATGTAATCAGTTGGACTGCGTTGATTTAATGGTGTTTTGATTAAATAAATGTATTCGTTGCTTGAAATAATTCAAGATGCATCAGAAAAACAAGTTGAAAAAACATAGAGTGTTCTTTGTCTAAACACCGCAGACGTGGCAGCGTCACAAGTTGGATTTTCGCTGTTAACAGGCATTCAAAGATATGACAAACAACATGCATTTTAACAACCGGAGGGAATTAAAAACTCACAATAAAATTGTACAGCTTATTTTGAATCTTCAAGCTAATTTTATCCAACTTTCAACTCTCCTTTTTTGTGCATTTCAATCGCACTTCATCTATCTGTCAACTGTTTTTCCATAAAATATAAGCCATTTTCTGTTGTCAACTCTTATTGTTTATTTGAAATATAGAAACAGTTTTTCCTACAAACAACCCACGCCCGATCATCGTGTCTTCTCGTGTCTTTCTCACAGTTTGTGGCATTTTTGTTGTGGTTCATCTACTTTGCATTCAACTATCGTATTTTCTGCATTTCAAATGTTTTACCTTTCATTTCAATCGCAAATTCTCATATTTGTGACCATTGAGCATGAATTGTCTGAGAAAGGGATGGGAAAATTTACATATACTGCATCTTGCCAACGGATATTGAGAATAAAACAAGATAAACTAAACGAAAGCAAATTGTTTGCTTCTTTTTCTCTTCACATTCATTCGTGTTTTATGACGATTTTGGAGTGATTTTATGGTTTTTCATCTTTTCCTGTCTGCCTGACTGCTTACCTTTCTACCTGAGTTACTCTTACCGGTACAACTCTCAACATCGAAGTTGTCACGTCAACTATTTTATAATACATAAAAATAATTTCAAAGTGTCGCACACAACATTTCCTCGTCGTTACCAACTCATCCGTTTGTGACTGTCTCAAATTTTGAGCGGTAGATATGAAAAATGTCGGAAAATGTTACGCTTGACTACGTTTACTTGTTTGAAATTTAAAACCATAATCAATATTTTGACTGACATTCACTTGAACGGCGAAAGTGAGTCTTTTATTTTTGGTTCTGCTGTTTCCACGGAAGTTGACGAAAAACACATTTGAAATCACGCAATCATCAAGTTACCTTGAAAACATGCCACTTCAACGATATTTTTGTCGGGATGTTCTGCTCAATAGCGTCTAGATCTGATAATTTTTGAGACGACAGCCAAAGTGATGTTATTTCGATCGATGCTTTTCAACCATTTGCATACTTATATGTGCGAATTTTTGTTTTGAATAGATATTCAAACGACAAGTTGTGGAGTAAATCAGTTTTGAGATGTAGATTGTAGAGCAAGCAGTAGTAAATTCTGTTACACGCACAAGGTGTGGTCTTTGCTTTTGTCGTTTCAAAACCCCTTGAATCGAGCAAATAATTGAATTGGCTATTGAAAATGGAGTTGAATGTATAAATTTGATGAAAACAAGCATATGGTGTCATTGCACAGCACACCGAAAAAACAATCACCAGTTTTATTTATTCACTTTTTTCCAATATTGATTTGTGTGTTGTATTTGGCTCCAAAAACTGATTTTGACATGTTTGACTTTTTTTCTTTCAGATAGGTGATTTTGTGTGTGTGACGCGAAAAAACATCGAATAAACAACACCAAAATTGGATAGCAACCATGGCAGAGGACGATATGGACTGTTGCGTTCGGGTAGCCGTCAGGTAAGTTATTACATACACATTTAATTCAGCTATGTTCAAATACAGCATCAACTTCATAAATTATTCAAATGATTTTTTTTCTGCTCTCTCTCTCCATCTCGTGATCGTTACTACTTGAATACTTTAATCCAAAGTGTGTGTTGCTTTTACCAAAGTATGCGTGTGCGTTGTTGTTGTTGTTTTTTCTTTCAATTTTTTTTATTTCAAATTTGTTTAAAATGCGTTGCACTATAAAAATTATAACTTCTTAGACAGAAACGTTTACGTAGGTAAATGTTTTCTTTCTTGGCAAACAAAAAAAAAACAAATTAGATGAACACCGCTGTGAATTTGACGCGTTGTCAAAGGCAAAATTCATTTCGATGACCTCACACTTCGATCGCTTTAGCTTAATTGCTGCGGCAAATGTAATTTCATCGCAAAAAAGAAATCCTTCCGCCACTCGCGCGCCTGTCATGCGGATGACAAACCATGCCAAAAACAGTAATCGAATCATTGGCATGCTTTATTAGGACACCTATATGATCGAAATCCAACTTAAGGCAGACTCCGTCTACCGATTGAATGAAACTGCGATTGGATGATGAGATTTAGTGTAACATTCAACCAAAATTGACCATGTTCGTGTGGTTTGAATCATCGGGCACCGCGAACGATGACTTTCATTGGCATTTTCGACAGATAGATTCAATGACAATGCGAATTTTTTTTTGTCACTATTCAAAATCGATGCATTTTAATTAATTAATAACAAATTCATGGACTTGCAAAAATGAAATATAAAAAACTGACCGCAAAATATTGCGCATTTCTTTGATCTCACCAACAAAATGCAAAATATCTTCCATCCATCGTTTCGATTGTATACAACAGAAAATCATTTAAATGACATTATCATCGATCTGAAATAATGAATGTGTGAACACTGAACAGGTTTCAAACAAATTCAACCGAAACAAATAAATGTGGCGACGATTGTTTTTATTGTTTATTAAACGACAGAATGATCATGAAAACGGTTTTTTCCACTCCTTTGGCCGCAATCCTATTTATATCTGTTTCATTATTATTATTGGATGTTTTTTTTTGTCGCTCGAAAATTTTAATAACGGGAAATTTTCTCAGTCTTAAACTTGAACATTGACTAACGATGTTTACGTAGAATTTGAACATGCTTCCGAACACGTTTTCGTATATAATTATCATTTTTTTTTAAATGCCCTTTTGCCCTTTTTAACATTCATAGACAGTAACTTGTGTCCGGAACATGTTTTTGTTATGCACGGCAGTATTTTATTTATGATAATACCTCTCTTCTTCGAAACGTAAGAATTTTATCAAAAAATCCACATCAAAACTGGACTCTGACTTTCGCTTTCAAAATCGGCTTTAACATTAATTATGAATATGTCATATTTTCCACTTTCTGTGCATTTGGAAACCACTTGAAATATTAATGTCAGTTGAATTTTAAATGTGCATATAAGTAAAGTTCAAAGCACCGTGAAAAAAATCGATAGACGAAAATAACGCCGTACCACATGTGCCTTAGGTCATTGATATCCACCAAAGGTGGACTTCTGTTTGATATTTACCGAAACAGTTATCAATAAAACGAGTGCTCTAGTAACCTGCTTCCAATCCGATTTTTCCCAATTTATTTTATGGCTTGCCGGGTCAATCGATGAGTTTTATTTGAAAAGTTTGAATATAAAGTTCTACAATGCGAGACAGACTTGGGCGCGCTTGGGCGGACCAGCTCGTTGTGGGTTGTTAAAATTAATGAAAAAGTGTAACAACACGACAATAACTGAAATGCACTCGCATGGGAGCGTCCGGAGCGACGTAATTCCATCGATTATTCGTTATCATTTTCCAAAAATGCGACGAAACAAACGAAATTCCACCAAAAGCAATTTCTACATGTAATAAAGAATACTGGGCTATGGAACTAGTTCCTAGATATCCAATAAAATCAATTAGCTTTCTAGCTCACGAAAAATCACCATTTTTTATGTTGTCATAGACGATTCTTTTTTTGTGGTGTAAATATTGATTGGTAAATAACGATTATTTTGAACACGACACACAACGCAATAACACCAAAAGTGCAATCGACTCATTTGAGTGTGTATGTCAACATTTTTATATTTGTTTAATAATTACTGTTTTTTTATATTTTAATGAAGCTATTATATTGACGAAGCTACTGTAGAACGAGTTCTTCGAATGTGACATTCACACATGAATATATGTTCAAATGATTCATTGCGACAATTGAGATAAATTTATTATTCGAAAAAGAAGTACTCGTAAAGTCAAGCGTAAAGTGGTGAAAGTAGGCTGGCTTATCAATCAATTGTGATGGCAGACACTTGAAATTGAACCAATTTGTAGTGGTAGCATACTAAGATTGAGTTAATGATTTATTGAACATTGGCTGATAAACAAGTACTTCTCTCATAGTGTTCGATTTCTTATTCTCTTCAATTGTTCATTATAATATTCAAATTAAGATGTACTTGAACTGAAAATTGGATGTAATACATTCAAAGCGATAATGTCTTTCTTTAAAAACGAACTGTTAACGTTTTATCTCCTTTTTTTTATTATTCGTCATTTTCAGCATGAGAATTTCATCACTTTGACATTAATTTCTACGAGTTTTTTTTTAACTGCCTCAGCATGTCAATACCTCCGAGTCCAAAACGTTTAGAAAGTTGCGCCTTAAAAACGAAACAAATAAATAACCAAAGAATGCTGAACGGAGGATATTATGTCAAGGCAGCACATTTATTTCCGTTCTTTCGACAAACGGTTGTTGTCTGATACATAGCATAAATTCATTTAATGTTTGATGTCAGCTTCATCTAAATGCGATTTCCTAATAGTGCATGTGTTCGCCAAAGTCGTTAACCTCGATTCATTTAGCTAAATTCAAATTAAAGAATAAATAAATAGAAAATGGCATCGTTGTTGACTGTAATCAAGAGTCAGCCAATGACGGTTTATTATTCTGTATGGAGAGATTTATTGAAATAGGATGCGGCGCATGTCTTGATAAACAAAATCTCAATATCTCTCTCGGTGTCGATAAGCCTAGAACATTGTGTAAATATGAAAAGCGAGAAGTAAATATCACTTCACTCGTGTAAATATTTGAACTACCTGTTCCGTGTGAGTTTCGGTCTCACCATATAAAATTGACGGGTTCCAACCAAACGAGTTAATTAAAACTGAATTCAAGCTCTTTCGACCTAAAAAGTGATAATTTAAAATGAAATCCTTCAAAATTATCGAAAATTTGAGAAAAAAAATTATTTGAATAACACGAGTCACGATTTGAATACTATGGAAATAAAAGCGCGCAACATAAAACAGAAAATATATCGAAAGAAATGACGTGCAATAAACTGATTACCGCTTTGATAAGACACGAATCGAATACTGGTTGTATAAAAGAGGCTAATTAAAATACAAAGAGTGAAAAAAACGATGAAATCAGAGAAGACGTCAATAAAGTGGCATTTTTTACTTTCAATTAAACATTTTCATTGCGCTGCTTGTTTCTTTTTTCGTGTTTACATAATGCATCTTTGATTAAGATATCGTTTTAATATGATATTTAAATACAAAATGTCCATATGTTGATAAAATGACAGCGAGATACAGATGCGGCCAATTCAAATATTGAGTTTTCAGTTTAAACAAGTTTTGCGTTGAATGTGTCACTTGGTAGTTGGTAGAAATCGCGACAATGGTTCAATGCATGATGCATACAAGTCAATTCATGTTAATTCAAATGACAAATTTGTTGACAAAATACAAAAAGAGACGGCACATGAATGCGTCCTATGAAGCAATTGATCGCTGTTGCACTTGTGAATGTCATTAATGGAATCTGCTGGATGAGATCATTTCAAATTGTTGTTGATCGTAATGGCATTTTTAATGTTTAATGGAATGGTGTAGGTAAAAAAAGACAGAATTGCGTGTCAGCAGCTCATTTTAAAGGAAACAATAAAACGATTGCGATTTTACACACGATTCCGTATTCATCAGGCTGTAAAAATCAATCGAACACAGTTTGGTATCCATTTATAGCGCACTGTTGCCGAAATAAAACAGAAATTTCAAGGTTGATGATACATGAAACGAAAATGCCGAGAAATTTTTATTTCGCATAAATTTTGGTCAATAGAACGAAAAATACACCGAGAAAAGCACGAAGTTTACAATTCTCATTGTCAGACAAAACGTACACAGAGAGTCACACATCTGTTTTGTGATTTTGATCGAATTGTTTACACACATCGCACAGTATGTGAGTTTTATGACGTTCTTTCGTTTTGCTGAATTCTATGAATGAAATTGAATCAAACCGAGCCGATCGACGGGCGTGGGCAGATTCATAAGGTGTATGTGATTGTTTGTGACATAATGATATTTAAGTTGATTAAAAAATATATAGAGAAAAACAAATATACCACACAAACTCATTAAGTTCGAACCATAAAAGACCTTTTTTTTTAAATTCAGTAATCGACATTTTTGTGTGGTGAAGAACGTTTTTTCACACTTGAAATTACAGGCCTTACGGCATTTTTGACATAGTTATTACGTTTTACCATAAAAATGCGGTGAAAATTACTTAATTCAATGGCGGATTATGCCTTGAATAAAATGGGCAGCCATTAACTACAATAATAATAGTAGATTTGAATAAACGACAAACAATGTTTCGCCGAAAGAGATGAAAAACCTTCGGAACATTATTTGATTTAATGCATTTAGTAGTGTATCCATTTTTGGTTTAGAGCTACAAAATCAGGTGAATCGTACTTATCATTTGAATAATAATAATGTTTTGAGAGAGTACATAAGAATTTGGTTTATTTTCTCTGGTTTTGCTTATGGAAGACATTTGTATTGCTCTTGTATCGATTTACTGAAAACCACTTGCTAAAAACAGTCAGTTTTCTTGAAAGACAGATGGTAAGACTTTTCTGCAGGGGCCATTTATCTCCGGGAGGAGTATGACAAATCAAAAAAAATTAAATTAAAAAAAGCAGAAAAAAAGTCACTTTTTCGTTAAAAAACCCAAATCGAAGGATTTGAAAAGTTCAAATGGGGAAAAGGTCATTTTTTTCGTTTTGTGATCTAAGAAAAATCCCGGACACGTGGTGACAAGGGAGGACACAACACGGAACCCCCAAAGTTTGATAAAGATATACTAAAAAATATAATTGAATCGTTGCGGAGAAAAAGGAGCTCTCATCTTTCTCCAAATAATACTGTAACATAAAGTTTTTTTGTTGTATTCCAACAAATAAACCGTGTGAAAAAAACTTCATGTTGCAGTATTATTTGAAGAAAAATAAGACCTACTTTTTCTCCGCAACGATTCAATTGTAGTGTGCCACTAAACTCCATATATTATCAACAGTGGGTCACGTTCAAGTAAGAGAGATAAGAGTTTTATTTTTTCGCTCACTTCTGTTATTATTGAATGATTATTTACTATATTGTGAAACTTTAGTCTATTTTCGCTGATAGTCACTGTGTTTGTGAAAACAGTTCGCACTTCGACACACTCGAACCCATTTACCTCACAACGTGCGATGATGTGACAATGATGCAAGTCAAATGTTTGCTTTTTTCATTCGTATCATTTGTACTTATTAATGAGGTCCATTCATTGTCGCTTGCGAGGTGGCTGGGCGTCGGTGAATTTTATTTTTTCTTCGCAAACACTCAAGCATGTGCAACAATCAAGTAAAACGAAATGTAAATAAACAAATGAACGAACAAAAGTATACAACAAAAAATGCGATCGCAATATTTTATTTAAATTACGCGGTTAAAATAAAAGATAATGGCATTTTTATCTTTTAACGATATTTGCCATTATCTAAACAAAGTGTTAATGTAAGCGAAACAAAACAAATGAAGTGTGAAGGGGAAAAGGGCCGTCTACTAATTATATTACAAAAAATGCTGAGTTCGATATTATCTTTTATCGTTTCTGCGTTCATTTTAATTGTTTCAGCGATAAACTATCGACAAAACTGTTAGTATCGTCAATTTTGTAAAGAAAATTATTTAAAAAAGCCCATTGAATTTTGCCGTTCCTTTGGGCTCTTACACGTTCTTCTATAATATTCGTGCTGTTAGATTCCAAAGCCCCGATGTGCCATATATGGCACTTGCTCCGTTAGAGATTTGATTTACTATGTTGATGCATTACAAATTAAAAACTGAAACGAAATAACGCGCGAAAGACACGCTGAGAAAAATATTTTCGTCGATTTTTCTTAATGGCAATTCTATGTTCAGTGTAGTCAACCTTGACATGTTAATTGTTTGTAGATATCGTTTCAACGTCGATTTAAAATACAGTATGCGCAATTGCATGTCGATTTTTTCATTCAATCGAACATAACATCGACTCATGTGTAGTTCATGACAAATTTCAAACGTTATAAATTTATTAGCAAAGCATCGAATTCAAGAATATAGACAATATATAAAAAGGGTGGGAGAGAGAAAAAATCTGACGCCGTCCATTTGTGTTCATGCCCAACAGCTCAGAATCATGATAAATGATCACATACATACTACGGAAATTCAACCGTTCGCTACGCATAACTAATTACATTAACTACACAAATAAAAGAAGAAAAAATAAACTTGTTGATTGATCGCTAGCACTGTCTCGCGTTTTGTATTTCTAGGCGTATTTTCTTTTCTCCCATGCAACAGTTTCAGACACTTTCGGTTACAATGACTTCACCTAGAGTCAAGACTAAAGTTGTTTGTGTTTTAATAACTCGATCAAATTATCTCGGTTTTTATGCAAATCGGCAAATTGCTCGCTATTTGATATGTGTGATTATTATTTCTCGTTTCCAAGTTCACCAAACAAATTATCGACATTTTCCTCTCATAAATTATTTTTTTTCCTGATTAGAACAAGAATGAACTGCTAATTGATGATTAGTGACACTTTGTATGTAGAATCGAGACACAACCATTTTTTTCGACAAAAAAAAACTCATTAAAAATAGAGTCAGAGCTGTACGGAGAAGTGATGAACATGTGTTTGATATTTTGAGACTGTCATGTTGTGAAAATCGAGCGTCATTTTTTTTATTGCAATTGTATGTGCCAAAGTCAGCTATTTGAAAGCAAAACGGATTCACTTGACGACGTTCGTTACGCTCGGCCAGTTTTTTTGTTTTTATTTCGTCGTCAATTGATTTTTAAACATCCGATAGGTTTTCATGTTTGCAAAAGCATAATCAACTACCACATCTACCATATGGCACACTGTAATTCAATCAAGCAATTCCCCTCTCCATTTTGTCTGATATCTGTAATAACGTAGACTTTTCTCCCACAAACAGAATTGCAAACAATTTTTGTGAAAATATTCGAAACAAAAACATTGAATTTAATCGAAACACATTCAATTCAAACTGTATTTCAAACAACAAATAAATGCATTTTTTTGCATAAAATCGACTGCATAAGAGTTATTCAGAGTTCTCGGTTCATTTCGAACATTTCATGTAATCAAAACTGTTTTTGTAGCCAGTCAGACGCATGATTCAACGATTTCCATTTTAAATGAATCTACATGATGCGCAAACAAAAAATTACTGTTATCTAGAATGTTTATTATTTTCTTTTTCCATTTTTCTGTCAATCATTTACGGTGATTGTTTTGCGAACCTATGCTTTTCAGTTCTGGGAACAAAACAAATTCGTCAACTGTTCGTATATTTACGTAAATATTACCGCAAAGCACTTTTTTCAAACGGCTATAATCGGTTGATGTTGTATTTTCATAATAATTTTTGAATTGCGTGCAAAAAAATCGCATTTTTTCAATCGAAAATTAAATGTTTGTTATTTTCTTTTCTATCTGATTTCATTTAATTAGAATCCGGCCGCAAATACCGCGAGAAATAATCGATATGTGTCGCATATGTACACAAGTGACACCAAACGAACCGCAAATCATTTTGGGTGCCGACAAAGCATTCACCTACGATTTTGTCTTCGATGTCAATTCCACACAAAGTGATATCTACCAAGAATGTGTGGAGCGTCTTGTAGACGGTGCGATGAAAGGCTATAACGCAACTGTATTGGCATATGGTCAGACTGGATCTGGAAAAACGTTTACAATGGGCACTGGATTCGAAACCGAAACCCATGAAGATCAAGAAGGAATTATACCGCGGGCGGTACGTCATTTGTTTTCATCAATTGGCAATCTCAAGGAAAATCCATACGATGAAAATGGCGTTTGCATGGATATGCTGCAATTCAGCGTTGGTGCACAGTTCATGGAACTTTACAATGAAGAGATCATCGACTTACTCGATCCATACAATAAGGTAATGTACAACAACAACAAATTCATCATTATTAAAACAATTGCAATGTCATTTTAACGGCAACTTTTCTTTTTGATGTAGTCAATTCATTAGTTTTAATAACACGTTTTATGTTTTTGATGTGACTTCAACCGTATTTTGTCAACTCAATGAATGACAAATAAAGTCGTCACATGTTCATCATATATATTAATTAGATGAGAATGACGACGATGTTTTCATTTCAAACCATCAAAAACATGTTGTCTTTGATTTGAACAGAAGTGCTATTTTTAATAATATGAACAAATTTCGCTAACACATTTTTGTAATACCTTGAAATCTAGACAAAGCAATATAAAATAACATCTGACAGTGCCGGAGCGATAAATGTGCCAGATGCGACAATCAAACCGATACATGGGCCACAAGATGCAATGCGGTGTTTGCAACAAGGTGCATTGGCACGAACAACAGCATCGACACAAATGAACGCACAATCGTCACGTAGTCATGCAATTTTCACAATCCTTATTAAACGACAACGTCGCATATCTGGCGAAGAGAATAATCTTATGGAAGACGATCTGGAGACATTGACGGCCAAATTTCATTTCGTCGATTTGGCTGGTTCAGAGCGACTAAAGCGCACTGGTGCGACCGGTGAACGTGCCAAAGAGGGCATTTCCATCAATTCAGGTTTGCTGTCGCTTGGCAATGTCATCTCAGCATTGGGAGATTCAACGAAGAAAGCCACACACATTCCATATCGAGATTCGAAATTGACACGACTGCTGCAAGATTCACTCGGTGGAAACAGTCAAACGTTGATGATTGCATGTGTTTCACCGAGTGATCGTGACTTTATGGAAACATTGAATACATTAAAGTATGCGAATCGTGCACGCAACATAACAAATAAGGTGGTTGTAAATCAAGATCAAAGTTCACGAACTATTTCACTGTTGCGCCGCGAAATTGCCGCATTGCAAATGGAATTGATCGAATATAAACAAGGCAAACGAACAATGGATTCAGAGGGCAATTCAACGTTAACAGATACATTTCATGAAAATGCAATGCTATTAGCCGATAATAAGAGGCTTCAGCAGAGAATTAAAGCCATGCAAGAAACGATAAACAATGTAACCGAGAAAAATGTCGATTTGATCGCTGAAAAAGAGTCTAGTGAATGGACGTCGTCGACGTGTAAGTGTGAAATGAATTTGTTTGCTTGTGTTTTGAAATTAATCATGATTTTTTTTTAGCCAATGATAAATCCGTGACCGAGTTAGTCGGGCGATACATCAAAGAAATTGAAAAACTCAGAGCCAAACTCATTGAATCCGAACAAATGTATCAACAATTGAAGAAAACGGTGAACACAGCGCGTAAAAATCTTATCACTTTCGCCGATACAGAAGGTTTGTTTTGAATATCGATTGGAAACTGGTCATTTTTTATGAATTTCATCGTTTCTTTTTTTATCCATGCTTCACAGACGTCGAAGATGTGATTGACTTGGCAAAACGAAAGTTGGAGAAAGAGCGAGAAATGTTTATGTCAAAATCGTTGCCTGGCTTTCCAGATAATTCGACATCGATTGACAACGAAAACGAATCGGACAGTGATGAGGATTCAGATGAATCCGAAGAAAAAGGTTAGAGAAGAATATTTTTCAATTTTTACCATTGAATTTCAATTTTTTGCTCCTTTTTTTTTGAATAATCAGTATGTCAAGAGGATTTAATCGATATCAGCGAAGACATTGAATTGAAGAGCAAGCTCATCGAACAATTGGAAATGACGAAAAATCGAATGGAAAAAATGCGTCAAATCTACGAAGAAAAATTGAATGTGCTCAATTCAAAGATAATCAACACACAACGCGAACGAGATCAAGTGTTGGCAAATATGACCGCATCGATTGGTGGTACGACCAATTCAACGACAACTAACGATAAAACAAAAAAGGTACGCGAAGAATATGAGAGAAAAATCAATGATATGCAAAAGGAGCTGAAGAAATTGCAAATGGCACAACGCGAACATGCTCGACAACATCGTGAAATTCAAGCACAAGAGACACAGTTGCGTACACTGAAAGCGGAATTGAGTGAATTGAAATCGGCGAAGGTCAGTATATACATCGACTTGTATTGATAGCCTCGGAGTGTTAATATTGTATTTTTTTTTCAGATAAAACTAATCAAGCGAATGAACGAACAGATGAGCCGTCACAAGGAGGCCGAAACCCGAAAGGCCCGTGAAATTGCACAGTTGCGCAAAGAACAGCGTAAACAATCGAATGCAATAAAATCGTTGCAAACACAAAGTGCGGCCAAAGATCAAGTGTTGAAGCGACGCATTGAAGAAGTGGCCGCTTTGAAACGTGATCGTCGAAGTCATTTGAGTCAAAAAGCTGCCGGTCGTTTACCACCAAAGAAAACACCTGTGATATTCAATCCGAAGCAAGCACGAACAAAGTGGGAAACGTTACAGCGTACAATCAATCGGGCGGCCCGCACAAAACAAACAATGTTCGAATTGGAAAGTGAATTAGAGCGTTTGGTGGCCGAACGTGAATCATTGATCAAAGATTTGAACGCCGTAAAACGACGTCAAAAAACAGAAGATACACCTGAATTAGCATCGGAAGAAGGTAACAATTTTTAGAGAAATTTCATCTCAGCTCACTTTCACATGGATTTTTATTTTGTTCCACAGATACACTGAAATCTAGCCTACGTTTTGTACAAGAAAACATAACACAGGTGCAACATTCGATTGTTGAAATCGAAGATGGAAAACAATCGACATCCGATACACAGAATATTCAAAATTTGCTGGAAAACATTCGAACATTCGATGAAGCCAAGTTTTTATTGGAGAAATTGACAAGCTCGTCCATTTTACAAACATGCGAAACGGCATTAACACAGAATCGATTAATGGATAATGAGGCACTTCTGAGCGATGTAAGTGGAATATGACCCATAAAAAATAATATTGAAATTTGAAATTTTCTTGTGATTTTTTTGATGAGCTATCGATTTTTTTGGTTCAGATCAAACAAGAAAGCAACATTCAGCATCAATTGCTTCAGCATGTATTGACTCAAAATCCGTCGGTGGCATTCCCCGATACATTGATCACAACGCCCACAATCTCCAATAAGTTCAGCGGTACGTATACCAATCTGACAGCATTGGATTCAGACGGAGATGGACAGAGACCAACCATAGATAGCAATAACACCATCAGCACTGTCAATTCACGTTCCCCCTCACCCATGCTCCAGAACGATCCGTAAGTCAATTTAAGATATTTACTCAATTAAACAATCCACTTTAATGCTTGTTCGAAAAAAGAACCTATACGTTATAACAAAGACGCAAGCCTTTTTCAAATGCAATACAAGTAGTTTCACCTATGCAACTACTCAAATTAAACACAAATCGGTTGGATAAATTAACAAAATGTAACACACTTGACCCTTTTTTTTAATTTTTTAATAAATCTACTTCAATATTAATGGTAGATTTATGTGTGGTTTACAATCAAGCATAAAATAGAATTTAAGAGCAACCGAGAACAGATAACAAAAACATTGGAAATAATTTTGTTTTTTTCTTCCAAATTTTTCGTTATTGTGTTGTATGTTTGAAAATTGAAAACAAAAAAAAACCAAAATAGTGACACGATACCGCCACGAACACCAAAAGTTAGAAGACGCACTGCACAGACGCAAGATTTACTGTTCGGTGATTCGTCCTCGTCAATTGATCAAATGTCACGTTCGTATCAGCAACAGCATTCTCCATCGCACCAACAACAGCAACAGACCGATATGACACGTAGTAGTTTTATTCCATTATCACGCGTACCGTCTGCCCCCGGTTCGCTTAAGTAAGTTTCATCAGACTCGATATTCGAAATTCATTTATCCTACGATTCGGCTTTTTCTAATAGATTTTGTGTCTCTCACAACTCACTTTTTAAAGAAAAAAGCAAATTTGTAATCTTCTTCCGTTTTTTTTTTCATTTTGTTTTTCTCCATGCTTTATTTATGAATTTCTTTTGTTTCTTTCTTCTATAATTTCTTTTTATCCCCATTATTTTTTTGTGGGTTCATTTCTTTTTATTATCCCCATTGCGTTTTATTTTCTTTCATTTAATCATATCAAAACCAAAAAAAATCCCTTTCTCACAATTTGGGTTCGTTGTCATTTGTTGCATATTTTTGTGTTTATTTCAAAAAAAAAAAAAAAAAAAAAAATTGGGTTATTATGTTCACTTTCATACATTCAAACACACATAAAGAGGTTCACGTTATCCTTCTGGTTGTTTAATCATTTCCATAGAGGATTGATGTCCGTTCACACAACTCCACGCCACACATTCACCACAAATCATTCGAATAATCCAATGCTATCATCGCCGTTATTTCCGCGCAAGTCGATGGACTCAGCGCCATCGGTACCAGTATCGCTACATACATCGCCGCGTTTTACACGTCGACCCTTTCCAAATAAAGCATCGCCCGGACTGTAAGTCATCATCAACACCACCCACAACAACCACTACTGCCATTGAATCCCACTTCGATGCAGATAGTATAGCAATTATAAATCGTAGATACTCTTCAAATAGATTCGTTGGTGTTTATATGAATGCATTTTATTATGCATTTATTGTAGTTTTTAGCGTCGTTTATACGACCATTAGCATGTTAAATGATACGTGTAGGTATAGGTTAGGTTCAATTCAACTTCTATTATTTTCTTATTCTTTTTTTTATTTATCTTGTCTTGCACTTGTACTTGAAATTTCAAATGTGGGATTCGACGATTTTTAATTGTTAATAGGGAATTTTCATTTAACTACAACGTCGATCCAAAGTCAATGGTTTTCAATTTGTTTGTTCATCTAATTTTTGATGTGGTTTTGCACAATATACAAGAGTGACTCTGTTTCTATTTTACTCAACAAATCTCTTTTAATGTACGCCGTTTTTGCCAGTGGTCATCATCATTATGATGTTCGATAAGAATTTCATGTTCAATTTAACATAATTGTGTGAAAATAAACGAAGCGAAAAAATGTGAAACAAGTCATTTCATTTGATTCCAAATAGAAAGACGCGCAAAAGCATTTATGAAACTCATCATTCATTACGATCTCATTCGCATCGCTTCCTTAATGCAATTAATCTGGGCTAAAACGTCACATTCATAGTTAATGGTTCACATCACTCATTTTCATTTACACTTGTGAATTTTTTTTTATTCGCATATTTCACATACCACATATGTTTTTTCTCGATAAAAACACTGAGAGAATCAATCATTTGTGGTATTCATATTTTAGCACATTGATTCCATTGCACCATAATGTAGATTTTTTTTTGCGGTTTTGGAAATATTCGTATGAAAATACAAACGACCATTTTCACATTCATTCCAAACTAACTCTGTTTTATTTTATTCCAATTAATATCTAACTAACCTGCCTAACTAATCATCAACGCAAAATCAGAGACGATGATCAACAAACACCACCGTCGCCGCTTATTTATCGACGCATGACGTCACGCGAAGATACTGCCACAGATGTTTTTTCACGATTGGGAGCCGGCACACAAGATCCAGGTACATCAATATTTGTTGAATTTGTTTACATAATTCGATCGTTCTTTTTTTCGAATTTTCCTAAAAAAATTTTTAGTTCCCGGCGGATCGATCCGAGAATACAGCGGAAAGGTAAGAATTCATGTTTAAAATTGAGTCCGATTTCCTAATGATTCTCATTTCAAATTGTGTTTTTTTAGATAAAACCTAGCAATCCATTGAATTGCACCCACGTGGTCGAAGGGCATAGTAATTCTGTTCTCGCTGTCAAGGTCAATGACAACAATTTATATACAGCTGCTGCAGGTTTGTTCAAATATTTTTCAAACATCTCTATTAGAATTGGAGTGTATGTGAGAGTCTGCTAAACCATACTTTTTTTTTCTCAGATCGAACGGTTCGAATTTGGGATTTGGGCAAATCAAATGGTCCAACCGGACTATTATCGCATGCTGGTCCCGTCGTGGCCGTCGAACATGATCGAAAAACGAATTTATTGTTTTCCGCCTGCGGTGCATTTGTTCGAGTATGGGATTTGCGATCCAGCCACACAAAGTCTGTAAAAACGCTTTGTTCCAGTGGAAACACAATGTCCGGTACAGCAAATTTGGGTCTATCCACTACTGGCGAATCGCCTGTGACGGCGCTCTCTTTGGGATCAACAGGCAATTTATACATTGCTGCATCGGATAAAGTTCGAATATGGGATTTGAGAAAGTGAGTGAATTTTGCCCATTTTTTATGAATATTTCTTTCGGAGAGAACAAATTATATCTTAAAATATTTCGTGGCAGTTTCTCATGTGTTGGAAAGTTAATTGGTGGTCATCAGGCGGCTGTAATGTGCGTTGCATCATGGAAAGGACCAGATGGCACCGATTTTGTTGCAACCGGATCAAAAGACCATTACGTAAAAGTGTTCGAAGTGTCATCAGCTGCTGGCATCGTATCCCCATTGTTGCACCTCGAACCACCACATTACGATGGCGTTCAAGCGTTGGTTGTGGCCAAAAATTCGCTTGGTGCCGATGCTGAACTATTCTCTGGCAGTCGTGATACCGGCATCAAACGATGGGATCTACGAAATGGCGAATTAAAACAAGTAAATATATGGCAAATGTGCTCGAATGAAGAAAATAAACATAAAATTTCAAATATTTCAGTCTCTGAACAATGCACACAAAGGCTGGGTGTCTGGTATGACCATTTCGGATGACATTTTGTTGTCAGCATGCCGCGGTGGCATAATTCGTCTATGGAATGTGAATACTTGCGAGAGCATTGCCGATATGAAAACCGATTCAGCAATCAATGACATTGTTTGCAATAGACAACTCATTTACACAGCAGCCAAGTAAGATATATTTCGAAGACTATTGCATGGATTAAGAAATAGATTAATCAAATTAGATTTTTATTCCTTATTCCCATTATTGATCTTGCGCGTATCCAAATTTATGCGAAAATTCCTAAAACAAATGATTTTCTCTTTCTTTCTTTTTTTCTTTTCCACCCTTGAAATTGTCTGCATTTCTCTTTTCATATACCGAAATTGCGTATAGTTCGGGCGAAGTGCGGATTTGGCGTTTGATTCCACCACCATAAAGAATGTGTCAATTCTATTCACTTCTTCTAGTATTGTTAGCTATAGCTTGTTTCATTGTAGCAAACTCGTTAACAACATAATGAACAAACCATGTACCTTAAATTTTATGACGACAAAAGCAAGCAATTGACCCAACAAACATGTGGTCAATGCAAAAATGAATTTGTGCCTCTGATATTTATAACTACATGACAATTACATGATTTAGAGATCTAGATTAGCGTTTTTGACGTGCCGGGTGACTTGAAATCGATTTACAGACAAAGAGCCAACAACAAGTAATTACCGTTACCATCATGAAATGCTTCATCCAACCAATTTTCCCATTTCATTCGAATTTGTTTTATCTGTTGCACTTGTTTGAACAATCAAATGCCATTTATTTGTTGGAGTTGTGACATTTCTCCTTTTTATTCCACATTTGTCTGTTTTTTTTACTTCAGGGATTGTTCTTTTGATGAAGAGGAATTGTGAGGAGGAAAATGGGGTGGAGAGCATTGAGGACCTTCTCAATTGAAAATGAGGATACCTCCTTCTCACCATTTCTTCTTCTCGGAAGAACAGTCCCTGTTTTTTACCGATTTTTTTTTGTATGGTCATTTTCGCTCTTTTTATCTCATACACATCAGTTTGGAATCACTAGTTCTGTCTATTTTAAGTGTGATGTTTTTGATTTTTCTTTTGGAGTTTTCCATGGCTGTCGAAATTTATTCGTTTTATTTATAAGTCTTTTTCTGCTGTTTTGCGTGTTGTTATATCAATTTTGTGACGTTTTTTTTTCCTTAATTTGCATGCTTCTTTGTTATGTTTTTAAATGATTCATTTCTACATATTTTGAAGCATTATCACTGTTTCTAACAGAAGCACTGTTCAAAATGCTCTTTTTTCGCTAGAAAAAAGTTGAATGTCAAAAATGTAATCTTTGAAATATCGACAGTTGACTGTATCGTCACTATTCATCGCTTTTAAACGGTGCATATTTTTCTAATGATCAAATAATCAATTTTTCACATTTCAGTGATGGAAAAATTCGCGTATGGAAGTTGCGGCGCCAAATAATGCTACAAACCAGATGACAATATCGTTGAGAAGTTGGAATAGAATCATTTTTTTTTTATAAATTGGCTGCGAAATTATTTAATATTTATAAATATTTATTATTTGATGTGAAGTCAAGACAATTTGTTTGTCAACCAAAAAAGAAAAATCGATAGAATTTAATAAAATATGTGAAAAAACATAAAAATTAATGCAAAATAGCAACAAAATTTATTCAATTCGAAAAAGACCCATATTTATATATATTACAAAATATTTAGATCGTTAGATTTGTGATTTTGTGTGGTGATTAGTTATTTGGAAAATTTATTCTAAATTAGTGTTAGTGCGAGAGAGAAAAAAATAAAAAAAAAGAAGAAATATTTTGAAACAAAATTATTGCCACAGACATTGACGATTTATTGCATTCTGGATGTATGAATGATCTTGTACCCAAATTCATTCGAATTTAAACATTGATTGCCCAATTTACAGAGAGTGATAAATAAGGATAATACGGCATAATTGTTGTTCAATCGATCGCTTTTTTCGAGACTACAGTCGTCAGAGAAAAAACATGTCAACACGCTCACACATTCAGGAATAGTAATATAGAATGATTAGTTTTTTTGTAATTGACTGGTTTCATATATTCATTTTACACATGCTGTTCGATTTTTGTTCCGAACCACATTCGTTGAAACGATTGTTCCGAGGAATAGAACATTTTTCACACATTCGTATAGTGTGTGCACTGGCCAGAGCCTATTTAACACTAGACAATATATAATTGCATTATAGCGAATATCAAAACATAAAGTCACACGCAAAAAAGCACATCTATCATGGCTGACTTAATGCTTATGCCTAAAAATAATAAAATACCGATTTGCGTAGAATAGAAATTGAATGGATCTAAAACTTAAAACGAAAGCATTAAATTCACAATTATTTAGAGTCTATACCGAAACAAAATTATTTATTATTTGTAATCAAAATGAAAATCAAATAAATAAAACAAAAAATATACATATAACTCAAGAAATAAGCATTTTTTGTTCATATGCCTCTTTTACTTCTTATTCTTTTGATGGATATCACTAAACAATTGTTGGGGAAAATTCATCCATTATCGGGTATATATTGATGGTCGAATGCGGGGTTGCAGTTGTGTGTTGTTTCAGTCGAATTTAACGTCATAATGAAATGAAAAAAGAGACAAAAAGAGTTATGCATAAAATTTCCATTGAATTGAAATCAATATGTGAATTAAAATAGAGCTTTAAAATCAACACCAATAAAAATTGTAATCAATTAGTTGGTAAAATTATTCTTACCGTGGGGTACTTTATACACAATATCTCAGATATTATGTACAAATCAAAGCCACAAAATACAAGCTTTGGTAATAACTATTTTAGTTAACATGTTTTCTTTTCTTCAATTGATTGATGCTTGTTGATCATTATTGTTTACTTGGACTGGAACAACATTTACATTTTCTCTTGGTTGTCTGCGTACCGGTGGTTTTTTACGATACGGTGGTCTTCGAGGTTGTGGTGGTCTCACAAACGAATTTATCAATGTTAAATCGAAAATGAAACACAGAGCTGTAATCAATGAATTTGAGTTAATTTTATTCAAAATAAATAACTACAGAAAGTTGTACCTTTGTACATTATGCACCTTGCCGCAACAATGTCTCGATGCCAAACAATGGTAAATCGCAGCTCTCGATATTTATGTTCTTGTTCCGGTTGTTGTTGTTGATGTTGTTGATGATGATCATTGGTGTTCGCAGCATCGTCTCCCATTTGAAGTGCATTCACAGAGTTTAGCGGCCAGTTTTTCCAATAGTACATTTTGGGTGACGCTAATCGCTCTGGTTTGGATTCTTTTGGCAGATTTGCTTGATTTACTAGACCTCTGTCGATCAACTTTTTCACACAACGGTCCAACGTTTTGCGTCGTGAGCCCTTTTTTGACACAATTAGCGGCGACAACGACATGTATTTGGCAATCTCCGCTGGTATTGGAGCATTGCGTGGACAATTCTTGCATGCTTTGAATCGGAATTTTTTCGTTTCTTTCGGGAACTTCACCATGCAACTGGCACAGTGTTGCGATGTGTAAGCTTCGTCCACTCTAACGACATCTGAATGATGTAATTTTTTAACGCTGTTTTCAAGACGTCGTGTTCCCGGGCATCGTTTGGTCTTCTTCTTACCGATTGGCGAATTGGCTGGCAATCCTCTTCATCATAGTGCTGAAAAATTGCTGCGTCGTTCTGAATGTGTACTATCTACTGGAATGCCGGTGCAAGCGAGGCATTTTAATTTGTCACAAGAAATGTTTGATGAGTATGTTAACAAATATATGCTTAAAAATGAATGTTAGTCTTCTCCTGAGATTTTTTTCAAATTTGACACCACCAACACCATATAAAAATTGGGATTTTTTTTAGAGACTGTTTCTGACAGTAATATATGTCAGAAGGATCGTTATGAGCAACTGAATGAGAAACAGTCTCTGATTTACTGCTTTGAGAAACAGTTGTTACACTTCATTTAAATCTCAGGAGAAATCTCACATTCATTCTCGGACAATCTTGTATCAGCATTGGCTTATTGCTAATTATGTTTTATGAAATCAACATAAATGACACACTTTCAATTTTTTAAAGAAAAATTCAAAGCGGAAGTCGAAAATTGTAAATGTTCCATTAGAAATGTTCACTAAATTGGAAAAGCTTCAGAAAATCTGTGGCCAAAATTAAAATTGAAATTCATTGCTTTGGTCTTTTTGCATACAGGTTAATTGAAAAATTCAAATTGGAAAGAGCCGAAAAAGGGACTGCCCTATCAGCCGAAATGATGATAAAAATAAACAAACTTAACACAGACAAAAAAGCAATCGTTGAGTCGTTGATGTTGTTATTAGGTGGTGACCACTTTGAATCGTCTAAGCTGTATTACACTTATGTATATGACTTAAATAAACTAGTTGTGGCAGAACAGAATATCAGCCATTTATTGGAAATGAAAATCGACCAAGTGACAATTAGGAAAAATGGATTTTTGCTCACTATGCCCATTGGTATGGATTGAATTTTATTTTGTGATGCCTATTTAAATTCCACATGTTTTTTAGATGAAACTGAGGAGAAAATAAATATCGTACAACAAATGAAACCGAATAATATTGCAGACTTCATTCCTCTGCTAATTGCCGACGCGATTGTATTGGAAAAATACAAGCGTGATCTCGTTGAATTAAACGCCATTGGAAATGATCATCCGATTTATTATTTTAGCGCAAAACTAGAGATACCAGTCACTGAGGTTGCCGCCGGTTTTGTTGCAAAAAGTGAGGTTTTCTTAAAAACCATGCCAAATGTTCTCAAACCAAAGTTAGATGTTCTTCTGAAACATGGCGTAGATCGTACAACTATTTTGTCATGTTCAAGGGTCTTCAAACTCAATAGCGTGGCACAAATTGACCACAGAATCAAAGGTCTTAAAAAAACCGGCCTCGATAAAATATCGGCGTATATGATTGACCATTCCAATTCAACTGAACTCAAATTGTATGAAACGTTTATGATAAAAGAAAAAGAATATTTTTTTAAACCAAATTCGAAATATCCATTTACAGGCGTATAGAAAGACGTCTTGAAGAAAAGAAGTCGCTTGATGGATTTGCGAATAGCATGGACTATCTTTCAAACCGGTTAGGTTGGAGTGAAAATGATCTTAAAGACGCTTTGAAAAGAGAGCCATCACTAAAACAATCTTCCGCTTTAAACGTAAATGATTTAATGGAAACGGGTCGTATCGTATAAGGATTTCTTTTTATTTTGTTTGTTTGTTTTTATTGCAGATTAAAACTCATTTGGATTTTTGGCAGAGTGAAGTTGGCTTTACAGCGAATATAATTACAAATTCATTATATATTTTCATATTTCCAATAATCCAATAAATATATTTTCAGAAGAAACTTGGATGAAATGAAATTACGATTATGTGAAATGAGAAAAATTCGCGCACTCATTAAATAAAGCAGAATTACTGGAACTAAAACCGCCTATTTAAAATATATTCGAAGCTATGCAACAGAGGAAGATTTTTCAATAGTTGAAGCACGTATTAAACAAAAAAAATGATACCATAAATATGATGATTCGAAAGAATTGAATTTTCATCAATGAATTTTCTTATAAGTTAGCCTAGGCTATGTCATTTTTGATAATGAATCAAATATGTATTGTATATACAATTGCATGGATATCATAAAAAAGGGTTAAAATTGCTGTTTTTCATTTTTATTATGAAACAAACCTTTGCAAAATATTTATTAGTCTACGTTTGCTCAGATCGAAGAGTAATCTTTGAACTAAAAGATCGTTCAGTTTCGTTTCGAGAAAACATTAGTTAGCAAAAAACTCTGCTTTGTCTTATAAATGTTTATTGTCACAGAACAATTGTATCAACGTCATGATCAGCTGTAGAATTTAAACTCCAAGAAAACTTATCCTATTTATAACAATTCCACAAAATTTTCTAGGTCGTTGAACTGTGAAGAAAAAAACATTAATAAGTAATTTCAAAGTAAAAATCTGAAGAAGAAAAATGTTAAGTAAGTTACAACAGTCATTAAGTTGCAACAGATTAGGGTGTATCATAAAGTCGCCAGTCTGATCTTACCTTTCAGGACAGAAACACTCAAAGCAAGCAAATTACCTCATCGAGGTATGCTAATGTCCAAAAATATATCAACGAAATAAATAACACTGCACTCATTAATGTTTCTTTAAACAATATATTTTCTTTTGTGAATAATTTTTTGTTGTCTTTTTGCATTCATTCCGTTGATTAAATACATATTTGAAATCGACATTTCATTACAAAAACAATTTATATGAGGAAAAAAATTGAGAGGAGGAGAAAAAAAACTTGAATGATAGTATAAATTTACTTATTATAAGTGAAATTCCAATGATTTTGTATGCTGTGGGATGTTATTGTTGTTGTTCCGCCTTTTGTGGTAAAATAGCAATACTTCAAAATCGATGAGTTTTTTTTATTGTATATATGTGTGGCTGGTAATGATGAGTTGGCTTATGAACCGACGATGATGTTGTTAATTGGAATATGAATGAGTTTGACGAAGAAACCGATGAATCCCATTATACAGAAACCAATAGCTGTTGCAATTGCAATCTTTTGGAATTCACGACGATCGGGTTTTGTGCATCGTTTTACCAAACGAATTGAATCTTTGGCAAACAAACGTCCTGGCTCGCAGAATTTAACGACTTGATCCATTTTATATTGATTGTAAAGCGGTCTGTAACGATAGAACAAAACAACACAAATCACTAAAAATTGAAATTTACACCAAACAAAAATCGATTCATTTCGAAAATACTATCTCTTGCTTTAAATACACTCAATAAAATTACTGTTTAGCTAATAAATAATGGAAAACACAATGAATTAACTGGAAATATTGTGAAAAAGAAATGACTTGACGAGAAATAAATTAGAATTCATACCTTTCACAAGCGGGTGAGAAAATCGAATGTAAGTTACACTGCTGTGTTAAATGACTTGATAAATGTGGGACCCAAATGACATGGAATACGTGGAATATACGTCGCAAGTACGGCTTTCAATGTTTGATGATGTTGTATCGTTCGGTGTTGTCCGATGCATAAACGTCATCGACAAAAATCATCGCATTCGCAACGGCGAATTCGATTGTCATCTGACTGTTGTGAATATGCGATGTTGTTTTTCTTTGGTTATGTTAATGTTTATTATTATTATTCTAAATTTATTTAAAAATACAAAATCCAAACAGAGTCTGTACTTAGATTGGAAAAACAACAAAAAAAAAAGATTCAATTTGTAAATCGAAAAGACAAAAATTTGCTGTGAAAAATGGAGAAGAAAGAAGAAGAGCGAAAAGTGGCACCAATCCGTGTTGTAAATTTGGCCAGTCTTCAAGATATAAAAGTTGTAAAGAAAGATACGCCGACGACGCGTCCAAACCGCCGAAAATCTGTCCACCAGGTACGATCGAATAGCATGGAACAAATGGAAATCATTGAAGGTCAGCCCAATTTAAATACCGATGATAGTTCGAATTCAACCATTGCATCCACATCCAATTCAACGATACACCGATTGACATTATCGAAAAAAGTGTTTCCAAAGACAACGCAACCAGAATCACGACCCAACGAAAATTTGATGAAGCGAGTCGCATTTTTACGGGTTTGCGCCGAGTATATGCTGAATGAATTGAATATTGACAATGTGAGCATCGGCGAAAATCAATCGCTTGAAATGCTCAAAGCACAATATTTCAAAAAATGGGAGGAAGACCGTGAGAAATCCAAAACAAATAGACACTCATTGCAGTAAAGAAGACAAGATGAAAAATACACCAAAATATGTAGCACAAAAGTTCGACACAAATTTTTTGTCGTTTTTAGAGCAGAAGAAACGGATGGTATTTTGTTGCAAAAATTCCTTTGGAATACTTTTCATTGAAAACCATGTAACATAATAGTTGAAGAAAATGATGCGTTTTTTTCGCTCATATTAATATCATCACTTGCGATGAGTTGGAGAGATAGTAAGAGACAGAATACCCTTCAAAACAATGAATGGCCGATTTTTTGTTCAAAAATATATCGAATATTAAAATTCAAAATATGAAAAGAATAAACATTTCCCCTTCAATCGCCATAATTTTGTACTTTTTACAACGAAATTAGCAAGAACAATGTAAAGAATCTAGTGTTAAGGAAAAAATCGAATAAGAATTCTCATTAAATGAATAAACATATGATTTAAATCGATAGTAATTAAATTTCAAATTCTGCGTATTTCTCTTCATCTCACTCTTTTTATTCAAACATTAAATTTCAAAGTGAACAATTTATTTAAAAATGGTATGGGTAAAGTCGGAAATATGATTTGTATAGCAGGTGATACGATATTATAACATTCATTCGGAAAAGTTTGTTGAACTTTGTGTACTCTTGATTGAACGGTAAGTGCCGCAGTGTTCAAGGCAATGTATGCGTAAAGTACCCGGTGCACGCAAAATACTTGCGTATATTAATGCATTAAAAGGCGTAAATAAAGGTAGATAAATGGACGTCTAGTACACGTTATACATCTGTTGTTGTTCGAATAACTTTGCATTGTTGTTGTTTAATTACTGGACGTCCTCAACATGGAAAACAAGACATATGTGACACATTTTTGCGCGTAGAAAATTAAGAAATTATAAAATCAAATCGATGCCAATCGGTATCTTTAAAAAAATGGCAGTCAGTCAACAACCTCGCCCAAATCAAAATCACACTCGGTTGCATGGGTGTAATGATAAGTGTAAAATATAAATTTACCGTTCGTCGGTTACGCATTCCAAAGTTGTCAAACAAGTTTTGCCTGCGGGCGTTGCAGTACCATCCATTTCTAGCCCATGCTAATCTTTTCAATTGTGAATGAAAAAATAAAAATAAAAATCTGATGGCATTTTTGACGAGTTTCACATATTTTTTTTTAATTAGTTTTGTGTTTTGTTATCAACTTAACTTACAAGCATATAATTACATCTTTTTTTTTAAACTCTAAAATCGAGAGAGATAAATCGTGTGTACATACGGCATACATGATTGATGAAAATCAACGCAGCATGACAACGATAATAATAAATAGTCTTTTCATTACAAAAGAAAAAATTTTTATATATAGAGAGATATAAAACTCTTATAAGCACTAAAAATGAAGAAATTTGTGATAAAACACGCGATTTCTAATAGTTAAATATGTATATATATATTTGTTGTTGTTGTTGTTGTTATTAAATAGTAATATAAATTATGTTGTTGCATAGTCAGCTGGCACAAATTGACAAACGCCATAACTATCACGTCGTCGATCTGGACCGCATTGCTCTTCGGCACCCAATAATGTCAGCTCCCATTGTGCATTGGCCAGGTCGGCATCCTTAAGTCTTGTTGTGCTATCACCTGCTAGAGCCAAACGATCAATATTACCTACATTTAAACTGTTAAACGAATTTTTCGTATCAGTTGTTAAATCAAATAATTCGGTACTTGGTGAATTTATAAAATTGGCCATTGAGTCAATTCCATAATTACTATATTGTTCATTCGTGCCCACATTTCCATTTCTATCTACAATTTGTACACTATGCTTTCGGCTAAAATAATTGTTATAGTTTTTATTATTTATTAATATATTATCTGGGTTTGGTTGTTGTTGTTGCTGTTGATCGTTGGCATTTGATGTTTTTGGTGTTAGTAAGACGGTATTTAAGTTGCTAAATGGATTGCCATGACCACCGATTATTATTGATTTTGGCAAGCGGTGTTGTGGAGAGGATTCAGTATTTGGCATCGCCGATAAATTAGTTGATTGTTTACCTGTTACAGTTGATAAAAAAATTGTTGCATCGGATGCATCGGCCGCTGATGATACAGATGCTGAATTATCCTCCAAATTGACTAATGGCAAATCGGCAATGGTTACAGCACCACCATCGGTCAACGAACGTACACCTGTATACGTTGGCTGAAGAATTTCATCGGATTGAATGTCCACATGGTATGGTGTTCGTCCTTCGATAAATTCACCATTAAGTGGTGCCGCTTCTTCACCTTGATTCAAATAATCCAAACGATTTGCGCCTTTTTTCACTTCAACCTGGGGCTTTCCCGACGATGGATGATATTTTTTATGATGTTTTGTATGATGTACACGTTTCACATGTTGATTATGCTGTGGCTGACGTTGACCAGACCGTTTTAATAAATCAAGCAATGAATTTCCCGTCGATGGTACAACCAAAATGACAAAATTTTCCAAATCAGCTCGAATGTTGTATTTTCCATCCTGTCGTTGATCGTACAAAAGTTGTGGACGCGATGGTCCAACATTCAATGGGATTGATTCAAAAACAGAAGCACTTGATGCTGGCGCCGATGCAGATGATTCATTTGGTTTTGTTTGTTCGGTTGGTTTTACATCGATTGGCTTTGGATCGACTGCCATCGATTCACTTGGTTTTGAATTGTCGGTGGGTTTTTCGTCGGCTGGCATTTGAATCACATCAACTGTAATCATTGGTTCTGGTTTTGCATCGGAGTCAGTGTCGTTTTTTGGCGATGCTGGCAATGCAAAAGTGCCCGACACCAACAATAAACACCACACAAATTTAATCGACCACATTTTGCGCAACAACTTTTTTAAACCGAGAAAACAAAACTGGACAATTCGAAATCGAAGCAAAAAAATATATTTGTATCACACAATTCACAGCACACTTCTTCACTCGGTCAAGTTCAAGCCGTAACTGATTTTCTTGCCGTTTATAAACACATCTCAACAGCTCTCTAGAGTCGATTCAAGACGTCTTTTATTCGAATTCGAAAGCATTTACAGGCCCAACCATAATAGCAACAGTAAACAGATATATCGTGTATGCTAGCGTTCACATGTATATACGCTATGTATATATATATATATTGATCTCTCGCTCTGGCTGTCTATCAACAATGGGGGGGCCATATCTCTATATCTGCGTTGTATTACTTTGGCTCATTTTAATACGTGTGTTCTTCCATTTCGCATTCATGAAGCGTCTTCGAATCTTCTTCCGTCATTCGTACACAAAATACACAAACAACAAATACGGCTTAATGAGTTGACCATTCGGTTGGGTTTTTTGTCGCTTCTCTCTCTCTGATTTGATTTTGTTTTTCAATTCGTGTCGTGACTTGCAATGACACTAAATGGTCAATTGATTTAACAACGAAAATGGTAAATGGAGCGCTTACGAATTAAGAAGAACTCTTTGCATGAGTGCATCATTTTGCATGAGCCAAAAATTCGTCGCAAATACATTCGACCGAAATCGAACAATTTAATTATCGCATTTAACCCAAAAATCCATTTTTAACACACACAAACAACAATCGATTTTATGACGTTGATACGCCCATCACATTTTTATGCGAACAAGGAATCAATTAAAAGAAACATTCGATTTTATTGGAAACTGATTACCGTTAGATTTGAGCTGTAAACAAAACAAAAATTGGCGCCGTTAAATGAATGTGAAGCGCAAACGCGTACGAAGCCTCATGCCTTTCACCTCCATATCGTTCACACACAAACAAAAGACAGAGAGATGCAACCAAGTGAAATTTTTCCAAACAATTTTCTATTCAATTTGATAGACATCAACTTAATACGGCGAAAAAAAAGTGCAAACAAAAAAAAAACTTGCGTGAAATTATTTTATCTGACGCAAGCACGTATGAAATGCACGATTCTCTGACGATTGCAGCACACACACACATATACTATTTGAAATTTGTGATAGAACATTGAAATGAAATTATGTTGTTTTCGGCTGAAAACAAAAAAAATGTGTGTGATTTCGTTACAATGTTCGTTCGCGCGAATCATCTGTATTCGCAATAGTTTATTGGCAAATAGACTCATTCGAGTGAGAAGAAATGCGATTTATAGCGAAAAAAATGATGGCGATTTATAGAAGAGAAAAAAAACACCGTCGTCGATTTAGTCGTCATTATCGACGTCGCGTTTATTCTGGCCATCCGGCCTGCATCAGATTACGCTTCATGCAAACCAATTATATTTTAATTAGCATTATTAAGTTCATTATCGCTCCAAAGACAGAACAATTTCGACGGTTAGTTTCATGTTTTATTCATTAGTCATAAATGTTTATATTATTATTATTTTCCCTTCGAGAGTTATTTTTTTTCTATTTTAAATACTCACTTGCACGTTACGTTGTGATCTATTTTAATTGGGAAAAAGCAAAATAGTAGTAGTAGAGAGAAAAACGAATCAATTTTCGTATAAATATCAGTAGCCTATGGTCAAGGTTCCACAATAATGAGAAACTCGTATACATACATATATATCATTGAGATGCCGTGCGGCAAAATGCTTTCGTTTGAAATTGCACAAGGCAAACGGAAAGTTCAGAAAAATCTTTCCAAAACTAGTTTTGTTTATGGTAATATGGATGAAAGCAAGAAATTTACTCGCTACCAAGTTGCAATGCACTCACGATGATGTATTTTGCTATGGCGAAGAATATGCGAAGCGATAAGCACGAGCAAAAAAGAAACAAAACGATAACTGAAAAACTTGATATTGTAACGGATTTTATTCTGTTCGCAAGAATCGGTGCAGCAGTGAACAAGAAAAATACTGAATACATTGCAATGATTTTAAATTAAATTGCAGTGCAGATTACAGTGTTTATTGTCCGCATAGGATGGGATTTTTTTTAATTCATTGTTTAAATTGCATCTTGAATCGCAAACATTGACCGACATGCACTTTTGTCTATCTTAATTAACATTTCCAAAGGAAAACATACAGTAATGCTAAGTCTAATCGGTTTATGACCATCTGGCCAATGCGAATAAAATACAATACAATTTTCTATTGTGATCGCATTTGATTTAAAACCAAACCAGCAACCGATGGCAATCATCCGTTGATCGATTCGAATATGATGTACACTCTACATATCTCTATGTTAAGGCATACACAGTTTTTTTTCTCTCTCGATACGATTAAATGTCAAGTATGCCTGTAAACAAATAAATCACATGCGGCAAGACGCAATTTCTTATCCATATCCACACGGTGTTGTTGATCGTCGTTTCCCATACGCTGAATGTGCTGGGTAGTGCATTTTTATGATTTATTTAATATACAATGTGTGCACGGTGGTTACTAATGTTGTGTGACGGACACAAACACAACAGAATCAACGAATCTACGGAGAATGGCCGTAGTAGTTTGTCAGCAGTTTGAGATTTATTGATATGCACTGCAAGCAATGCTCAACGAAATGAATGCGTCATGATAGTTAAAAATAGCATTAAATCTTTTCCTTTTTTTAAATTGTCTTCGATGATGATTTGGTTGTTTACAAAAAAAAGGTTTCAGACGACTTTCAAAGTAACTTCTTATATTCAAAATGAGAATAAAAAAAATTATTTGAGGTTTTTTTTTTATTTGAACTGTGATGCGCATAAATAAAATCAGCGATATCATCACATATAAGCAAATTAAATAGACAAATAAAGAATGATGATCCATTAAGGTCCAAGAATGATGGATCTCATTTTGAGTTATTGTGTTTATGGGTCAGCAACAGACCGAACATTATGTAAAAGTCAAACCGAACATTAACCAATTTCACAAAGAATCAAAGGGAGACTTAAAACTTTTGTAAATAATTAGCATATTTCTTCACTCTAGTTGTTGTTTCTTATTTCTTCGGTTCATTCGAATTTATTACACACTGATCGTATTTTGCTCTCTCTCCCTCTCTCTTTGGCGCTGTAAAGTCGTGTTGAAGCGCGCGAATGTAGCAACAGAACCTTTCGCAAAGCAATTTTAAATCACGATTAAATGCGACGTGACCCATATTCTTGTCGTTTGGGTGCTTTCTTTTTTCGCGTTGGTCTCGTCGCCGTTTGTTATTATTGTTGTTGCCATCACTACTGTTACTATTGATCATATTCTCACATTGAACCTTTCTCAATAAAGAACGAGACAGAAATTAAAAAACGACACAAAAAACCACACAGTCACATTGTTCCCACTCACCGAAATCGTATGAAAAGTAATACGTCTGTGATAGACTCACAAAACATAGATGTTCTGTTTGAATGAAACAGTGTTTATTAATCGCTTTTACGATCTTTTATGGTATATCTTTGCATTTATTCTCTTTAAATATGATTTGAATACAGTACAAGATTAGGACGTTTTTTGCTATGTGAAATAATTACAACAATTGAATATTTACATATGAACCGGAATTACACATAATTTTTTTCTTTTTCTATTATTACTTTTGTTTTGTTCCATGTTGATTTATTTAGAAAAAAAATCTATTGCAAAAACGATGTCTCGCGGAAACTGATTTGTACCCATTTTACTTTGTCAATATTGGTTGACATTAAAAAAATATATATTAAAAAACCGCTACGTCATTTGCCATTAACCTTCATATTGGTAAGATAATTGACTTTGTCAGACTGTCCAAAATGTTAATGGACGTTGATGCCGTTAAATATGAGTGTTTTTCGTGAGTTTGTTAAGACGATTACATTATCAATGATTATCTTTACTCGTTTCAAAAATTTGGAAGGAATGATGAAATTTATGATTTTTTACGATTTTTTTTTAATTTTTGGAAACACATATCTTTGACAAAATGAATTTTTATTTCAAATTTGGACATATTAATTTTTTTTCAATATTTTTGTTTTTTTACATTTAATATTATTTTATCAATGACGTAATACACATATTAAAAAATAGACGAATAAAATGTATGTCATAAATTTTGTGATTCTGAACAGAGTCATGCACTTAAAAAAAAAACACCGAAACACAGTTTTGTTATCATTTGCAAAGTTCACGATTATATTTTTTTTCATATTTTGTTTGTTATGATCGGTTTTAGACAATCGACTAAATGGTTGAAATGTCGTTCGATTTAAATGGGAAAAGGGTATGATGACTATGTGATTTTTAAAAATAGACGAAAGCATATTAATACCAAGTGTTATTTTGAATGCCGGAACACTTCCCGAAAACGATCGCCCGAAAAAATTTCTAAGAAATATTGTATAATTTTCGGGAAAACTTTCACTCGGGAAAAATTATTTCCGGGAAATCTCTCTCTGCCTTCAATTTTCTAAGTAGATAAAAATAATTTAAAAAAAATAATAAATATTCGTCCTTAAAATTTACGATCCAATGAAAAATGAAACACAATATGTTGTTTTTTTTTTTTAAATCATAATACTATGATGTTCCATTTGTAAATTGATGCAATTGGAATTTAATGCTCAAAGTAATTGGATGCGATTGGTTTATTCGGACTTGATTGTTTCTTATAGCTTCGAGTTGGAGTACATTCGATTGGATAAAAAACAATGTGATTTATTTACAGAAATGGAAACAAAAGTGGAGTATCGTTTGTCAATTTAAATCCTCTCAATTGGCTATTTGAAGGATCTATTTCTTGTGCAATACGTGAAACATGGATAAAAGTGCAAAAATAACATTGAGTAAAATGACATGTGTTACATTCATTCTGAATTTTGCATTACAACCTACATATTCATATATAGATTCATTTTAATCGGTTTCTTTTTGGTCTCATCAAAATTTAAGCGTCACGACCTGTACAAATACAATATGCATTTTTCATATCATCACTAGCAACATATAGATATGCGGAATCTGATTATCTCGTTTACATTTTAAATACAGTCCAAGTATTATGCTCCGGATATCTATGTGATGCTATTGAATTCGCTTCATTTTCTTCATTTAATCAAGCGCATACGTTGATATCTTTGGTACCAAAATAGCGAATACTTTTCTCATTCTTTTCTTCCACTTTGTAATCTCAATAGAAAAAATATACAAAGCATATACTGATTTAGTTTTTAAGCAGTAGCTTGCAAGTGGATGATCGTAGCCGAATATAATCAGTTACTTTTGAAACTTTTTTTGCTTTTACTGGTTAGATAAACATCGTTTAAATTAAAAAACTCAATCTATAATGCGCAAGAGCATTTTAAAATTGGCAAAAATTAATTGGTAAAATTATTCATTTGTTTGATCGCCTGAACGAGAAAAGTGCGATCTTCTAATATAATAACTAGCTGGATTTAAATCTATGAAGCGTTCCAGTTAAACTTTTCTTAATTTATAATTGAACCTGCTAGAATATTCGTGAGCTCAAGAAATTTGTCAAAATAAAACTGCAACGTGCCCATACATTTTTTACATGAACATGTTGCTCTTTTACTTTAACAAATTTATTGAGCTCACGAATATTCTAACCAATTCAATTATCTGCTTTTATAAATTATATTTGCATTTCGTTCAAAATTGATTGGGTTTCCGTCTGAATTTATTTCATTAGATCTTCATTTGCATTGGGCTGATTAGAAGGGGAGCGGGACAATGGCTAAACAAATTACAACCATTTAAGTGAAAAGCGCGCAAAAAATGACAAAACACAATTTAGTTGGTTTTAACGCCATTCTTTTGGACTTTCTTTTGAGTCACCGTAAAACATTCACGTCCAAAGTGATCACACATCTGTTGCACCTGAAGAATTGAAAAAAAGAAGGAATTAGTATGATTTTGAATTTTTGAAATACGAAAAAAACGATTTTAGAGCATGGATTCGTTATTCATGGTTGCCATTACTGGATATGCTGGGAATTCTCAATTAGCGTATTTCTAACGTATTTCTATTTAAAAGAATCTGAGAACAACCCCTCTCTATGCAAGAGAGATTCTTTCGATTTTCTAAGGTCGTTTGATCGGAGTGAAATCGACTTTTGCCGAAACCCTCTCTGGATTTTCCTCGGGAGCCCCTTGGAATTTTAGCCATCTTTGGCGCCAATTGAGAATTACCAAGAAGCTTAGAAATCTCTTTGTTAGCAATATCCTTCACATTCATGCTCCAAATGATCAATAAATTCTATTAAAACTGCATGCTTACCACTCTAGTTCCATAATGCCAATGTGTCGCCGTTGAAAAAATGCAGAGCAGATAAAGTAATGGTCTTTCGAAAATCGGTACATACAAACTGATTAAAATGCTTGCCACATAAATTGGTGTTGTCCAATGAATGGCCTCACATCGTGTACTTGACATTTGCGCCACAATCAATCGGCACTGAATCCATCACATAGCAGATATAAAAATAAAATCAATCATTAGAATAAACTGGGCAAATAAATTGAAAGCAACAAGTGTTTACTGAAGCAAAACCAAAGGCATAGTAAAGTAATTGCGTGACTATGATTTTGCGATGCAACAAGTAAATTCATTTCAGTTGCTATCCATTTTTCTTTTAAATTGATACTTACACTGACATTACTTAATATTGTTCCCGTTAATAGAAAAACGACTCGTGTATCAATGTCCATAATGTTATTCGGTGATTTTGCGATCCAAAACATGAACAATGCCAAAAATGTTACAAACGGAAAGAATGGTCTGGCTGCTTCGAGTGGTGTTCGCATTTTTCCGGTTTTATATTTATATGATCTGTATATGTTGACTACAACCATTGGTACACTCGACAAGGCACTTGCATGCAATAGAAATTCTAAACCTAAACCCAACGGAATGCCAAACGGCAACGATCGTTTCCAAAACTGAAATGTTCCCAGCCATGTGGTTAAAAACATAAGCGTTGATCCCCACATTCCAAAATCATAACCCCATGGCAAATACAGTACGCCAGTGTTGTACTTTTCAAAATGTGAAATGAAAAAATTGAATAGCACCATCCAAACAATGAAATACATTCGAATCGGTGGAATCGATGATGGTCCACGGCCAAATATTGAATACAAACAGGACGGTATCAATGGTGCCGTATATGAATCTAAACCATGATCAAAAAGTTCACCTAATGGACCGCTGAGACCAATGCGTCGCGCCAATTTACCATCAACGCCATCAAGTGTGTACGCCAAAAAGATGTTTATTGCCGCCAAAAGCCAAAACCAATTCGGTGTTGGTGTGGTATCTCCGTAGCCAGTACTTGCATAAAATCCCCAATCATACCATGACAATAGTATGAAATTTAATGCGGTAAATAGAAAACCGACAAATGTCACTAGATTCGGCGCTATCCATTTTGGAAAAAACTACAAATGAACAGAGAAAATTAATGTAATTAACGAAAAATGTAAATTTTTATAAGGTTACATCGACTATTATTTACCTTAACAAGTGAATTCCAAAACGGATGCATCACGTTCACGCTCAACGGCGATGTGTCTATTGAGCTATACTATATTACAAAAAAATAAAATAAAAATAAACATTATATTTATCTGACTATATAATCTGTATGATAGCTGTAATAATAGTGTGAGTGTGTGGCACATTTTCATTGCAGAAACGAAAAATAGATCTATATTCTCTTGAGCTGATTAACGTAAAAACATGCTAGATCACCTGACCTAAAGAAAGGGGACAGCAAAATGTATTTTTGAATGATAAAGCGTTGAAAATCATTCATAATTTTAATGTTAGACGCGAGAAAAATCATCACGTCACCAAAACTCGTGTCAAATGCTTACTTCAAATCTGAAATTTTAATTTCAAAGTTCATTTTATTTCGCGGCCAAGTGGTTATTCAAATTCATTGTGATCAATTTCTATATTTAAACTGCGCCTAATTTGATTAAAGCAAAAAAGAAGAGAACAAACATTTTTTTTTTATTTTCAAATGAATTTAAACGTAATAACGTCGGTTGCGATAAAATTGTTTGCCATAACGTTGTGGCTATTATTTGTTATGCAAAAAAAGCGTTTGCTAATTTAAAAATTCCGAATGATGTAATTATTGAATTCCGGTTTATTAAATCAAGGAGCAAAAAAAAACTACAAAGTATATCGATGCAAACGGGTTTCAGTGCACCACAGACACACACAAGGTACTAAAATGAATCAATTAGATAAACTTATAATTAAATGACTCACTTTATAACTATCGAAACCATCCAAGTGTTTCTCTGTCAAATATTCCATATTCCAGTATTTTTGTATAAACTCCGTCATTTTGATGCTCATTTTTATGTGATGATTCAAATATTCAATTCAATGTTTGCCCGCACGTTTCAACTTGCACACACTGGAATTCAAATCAAATTGCGTACACGTCTTACGAATAGAAGTTCTTTGGATTTGGATTTTGGCTTTGAGCTGCTCACACACGCATCAATTTTTTCGACGAAACGATTTCTTATTTATTAATAACTCCCATATCAAATGACTTTTCTTGGTTATGCCATGGCACACAGATCTATTGATTTTTTTTTTCACTATCCCAGTATTCAGTGAAATGTTCTGTACATTTTCACTTTTGAATAATCAATGAATAAATTTCGGGGGAAATGATTTGAACAACGAAAGCGATTTATCACGGTTTACATGCGATGAATGAGATGAATAATATAAAAATCGATTGTTTTCAATAAATACACTTGATTGTTGTGAATACACGCGTTTCGCTTTCGGTTGCACGAGCCGTCAAACTGATTTCTTAGCCGTTCTTTCGATTTGTTGTGTGGTGATGATGGTGACACATTGAATACGTTACCGAATACAAACACATTTGAAACGATACTTGTTTCAGCTGTATTTACACATCTGCTCAATTCGTTTTGTATGTATTGTAGGCATGCACACCTACGGTACTATTTGCGGCGAATTCACTGTTTGTAACGACGGCAATACCAAGCGGCGAATTGGTTTGATTTGAATGTGTACCAAGAAAACAAATATTTCTTATTATTTTAAGTATTTTATTTAGTTTACAAGGAAAACTATTCACTATTTTAATGTCACTATGTTTATTGACGAAATTGGTATTTTTAGGTGATCTTCATTCATAAAGCTGATGCGAACTCTTTACTTATAAAATGTTGTTGCTTTTAAGGTGTTTATTTTCGCTCGATGAGGTAATTTCCCCTTTTATAGACAGATAACAGTCAACATAGTAGGACACAGTAAAATCAGTCTTAATTAAGTATATTCAATCATTTTACTGCATTTTTATCAGTTATTATCTAATTTTGGTGTGAAATTATGTCAACCAAACAACACTTAGGTCTTCCGCATTATCAATGGCAATCATTATACTTACTACGAGATGATACCGGTTACGGCTTTACGTGTGTTTACATCACCATTTAGATACGAGTCGCAATTAGTTTTTTTCGGAATGTATTAGTTTCAACAAATAAATTGCAATCGAACAGAGCTATGCAATACTTGACAGTAAAATCTAGAAAAGTACTTGAAATAAACTGAGCAAGCTGTGAGTCACTTTTTGTTATTATTGGATAATTCATCGAATTTAAAAACAATATGAACTCATTTAAAGCACCACCAGGGAAGCAGGTCGATGATAAAAAGAAATTGAATTTTATATTGATGGCTTGTTAAGAAATCGGTACGTTTGTTAAACGGTGTTAATAAAAATTGACACGGTTACCCATGCCGAACCACAACATTGTTGCGTTTTTATTCAATATTGCGTATGAGCGCGCACAAAATCATCCTGTCGCATAAAATTGGTGTCGATGTCAATCCGACTCCTTACAGTGTTGCGCATGTTCGGCTCGCGTTTGAATCGCGTATTACGTTCAGTTTAGCTTTGGCAGTCAATGTATCAGCACGAACATTACGACACATAGTGATATCCACAACAAACAACTGCGAACTCGCTTTCGCACACATTCGTATGTGCAACGATCATTGAGATAAAAAAAAGTCAATTAAAAACAATTAAATGAACGAATCGAACAAACAAACAGAAAGTTCAGTCGAGTTTTTGTAAGCAAAATCCAAAAAAAAAAACACAGCTGATTCGGTTCATTGAATCGCAGAATATTTTATAATCTATATTGGAATGTTTGTATTACAAGAAATTGTGTGTAAAAAAACTGTGTGCAAAAAAAGTAACAAAAATAGACGATCAGTAGAACAAAGAATTGAGAATCGAAGTTGTATGCGTGACATTACGCGCTGAGTGTATGGACTGTGTAGTTGTTGCATTCAATCAAAGCTAAAATTAGCGATAACATTCAAATGTGTGATTTGGCACGAAACCAAAACAAATAACGATATGAAAGCATCAATACGATGAAATACTTGGCGTAAAGAGAGAATTGGTGACAGGTACTCACAGAAAGAAAGAAAAAAAACGAACAAACACATGTGCTACTTTGAATTCATTCACGGTGGATCGCATATTATGGTTGTGAATTCTTGCGCGGTTTACTCATAATATTTATCGAACAATGCGATGTATGAAAGTTCAACTGTGATTGAGATAAAGAGGAGGGAGCAACAATTATTTTCAGTGCTATGATAAACAGCAATATTACAGCTTAAAGTGGATTTTCGTTTCTTGTTATTTGATATAAGTAGTGATAAATTCAAAATGGATATGTTAAGGACGTTGCCAAGACATTTGGATGCAAAGGATTTATCAAACGATACAAATAGTTTGAATGTCACGATGCCTGCGGCTGCCGCAGCCGCCTTTCAACTGTCGAGCAATTTTTTAAATACAGTAAGCATTTCTTTTGGTTTTTTTTTTTCGATCAAACATGCCAAATGAATATAAGTCATTCGACGAAGCAGCACTTTTCATGTGGGAATGCTAATGTTACGCCTCCTCAGAAATGCAGTTACATCTGGACATTTAGTTACCGTCTAGACATTACTCCCTCACAAATTGAACGAAATTATTCGTCAATTTTTATGCGACGACCCTTTTTCACTTTTTTTTTTAGAAGCGATTTCAAGATTTTTTTTTTTTTTTTTTTTTGAAAAAAACATTTTTTGTCGGATCGCCAGCTATATCACGAGTGTTCATTTCTTCAATTCATTCAATTTAATCAATTTTAGTTTCTTGAAATTATGTGCGTACATATCACACATACATTTGTTCAACTTGTTAAAACCTCATTATAGTATGATTTGATTCATGAGGTCATGCCAGACAGATCGTTAAATAAATTTAACGATACTTAAATTTAACTGAATAAATAAATGATCTCCAAAAAAGAAATTCGCATTCCTCCTTTATCACTCGAACACATGCCCAGTTCAATCAATGTCAATGTTAATTCCGTTGCACGATGATTTATATTCACCTGCCGATTTGACACTTAACAATACTATGTCAACTGCATACTAAAAAAAATTGTTACTTTTCACCCCACAGACCCCCGTCAAAACGGATATGGAGATAATGGAGAATTCAATGCTCGAGGATGATCCGAATGCAAATTGTCAATTAGCATCGGCTAAAGTTATAAATAGCACAGCCAATGAATCACAATCATCATATCCACGATGGGGACCACAACACAAAGGCGCTCAAGAGCTAGCAAATTTATATAGTCCAGGTAATGGTATTTTCCAAATTGTAATTATTTCAACATTTATTATTCACATTTGGTGGTTATTCTCACGGGTACCACGTCAGTTTATTTGAGGAACTCTGAAAAAATATTACTTTTTCGAACATTTGCTTCGATTCTCATACCGCACACCCGTTCGATTCTTTTAACACAAATGTAGATCAAATGGATAATTATTAATGGATGATATTGATAATTTCCAAATCGATAAATTTGTTGGAAAGTAAATGAAACACATTTTTTTTATTGAACTTCAACTAATTACATTATTATTGATTTGTCTCACACAGACCGGGAATTTTTTTTTGCATCGATGATAAAATTGAATTTTTTTATGATTGAACAAATATTCCATTGGTTGTATAATCATCATACATCGAATGAATGTAAACAAAGCATTCGTGTTTCAGTGTACGTTTCTTTCCTTCTTTCACCGCTCCTCGTGGAAATTCATGCAATTTTTCAGATGGATTAAACAAAACTACAGAGTAAACATTTGAATTTTATCGTAATTTTCTAGCTCACTTGAATATTCAAGTGCGATTCATGGCACGCGTGTACTCTACACACGGTCTTTTGAATTCGACCAATTTTAAAATGTTCCATTCGATTACACTTTGTGGAAAATTGAGCAGCCACATCAAACCGCAACACGAAATTCCAAAATTAATTATTCAAATCAAATACATCGATATTCAGTTGCTATACGACTCAAAGAGATAGCATTTTCCCCATTTCAGATAGCATTTGATAAGAATGTATATTCGCCATGTGACACCGCAAAACGAAAGCGGAAATAAATCGAACGACAAATTTGTTGAATTTTCCAAGCCACAGAATTTTGCAGATTCGGTACGGTATCGAACTTGGTCATGATTTTGGTCATTCTGCACGAAATGCTGGGTGATTGGACAAGACGTCGTTTGATTTTTCATTTTAAACATACCTTACTGTGTTGTGTTTTATTGCGGTTTTCCAATGCAATTAACAAATTGAACAAGCCATGTTTACACTAAGTGCACAATGCACATACATATTCAATGGCGCCTTTTCTATTGATTTTCTAAGTTAGTTTTAATGCGCACTTTTTAACACATTCTTTTGAAATGTTAAAGTTATTTTTTACCCGACATTGATGGCCATAGTAATTGTAAGAATATATTTGTCGTAAAGGGAGCAAGCAAAGAATGAGTGGCACAAAAACGCTATATATATGTCAACCCGAGTGGGTTAGTAGACATGTTCGTCTCCCTTTTCAATAAGCAAATATTTTATTGATGGTTGGTGTTTTCAGGTGAAACACCACTGAATAACTCCACTTCTCCCTTTCCTCAAATACATTTCAAGTCCATTCGGGTGCACACCAAATGGAGTTACGATAAAACCGCGCTTTAATATTGCGCATATATTATAAGCATAGAGTAAATGTAATTGATGGCTTTTATTTATTTTTACGTTTTTTTGTTTTTTCCTTTCTTTCTCTTTTTCTCTGCCTTTTTATGTTGTTGACGATGACGAAACATTCATACTGCGCAAATTATGTCTCAGGCAAACGAATACAAGAGGTGATTTGCGTGTACATGTGCATTAGTTTAATGATATTAAACTTATTCCTAATTATCCGACATTTTCGCTTCGAACGAATGGGTATTGTGATTGCAGCTGCACTTTGTGGCATAATTACGGCCGATTTTGGATCGGGATTTGTGCATTGGTTCGCTGATTCTTGGGTTTGTTGATGCCTTTAAATTTTCTCTAAAATAACTTATTCATCGATTTAATTCCATTTTTTAGGGTTCCGTCGAATTGCCGATCATCGGAAAAGTAAGTTTTTGTTTTATATTATTATTATTTTTATCCTCTGTTCACTTGCACACCTCCAAAAAAAAATGTGTCGAGAGCGATTCTTTTTGGTTTAAGAATTTAAATATATGTGTGTAGCACGAAAGAGCGTGCACCATATCATTTCAATTCGATAAAATAAAAAAAAGAGTATGATTAGCATACGAATAAATAATATGATTTCTATGCCACCCAAAAATGAAGGTAACTTTATTTGATAAACGAACCGACGACGACGACGACGACATCCCTTTTGTATTCGATTTAATATGACATTCAAACGAACATGATTGGTTATTTCTTTTGCGTATTTCCATTGTTCATTTCTTTCAAATGAAGCGTAAATAATATTTGAACAAAGTACATTTATACAATTTCACTTAAATTCGCATTCATATAATTTAAACATGCCAACGACCTATTCAATTAAAGCGACTCGATGTCTGGACGCATTGCATACAAAGAATAGCAATAACTGCTATATTTAGCTCTCAATATTTGAGTATAAATATAGAGCTTGAACCACCTTGTGTTTGATTTAATCAAAATATGATTTCAAGTTGAAATTTTCAACGAAACACGACACTTTTGACCCGAAGTCAGTTTGGTGTTATGGTTCAAAGTGTCAAAAGGGTGAAATTTCAATTATTTTTTACATTTTATATATCTCACCCTTTCTTTCTTTATCTCTCCCTCTCTCTCTAAATCCATAAAAAAACCTCGAATAAATTTCATTGTGAATTTCCAGTTGGGTGCATTTTTATCCAAAATCGATAAATTTATTGATTTCGATCAACAAAAAATGACTAGACAGTTAACGCACCATAATTCCCTTTTTAACCTTTGGTCTTCATTAATTTTTCATGCAAAAATAGAATCCAATTAAAACTGGAGCCGATAGCGGCCCAAATGAACATTCCAATTGGCCAAAAATCCATAATTCGGTGTGGATACCAGTTTACCTAAGACAATTGATTTTCGCCTGGCGGGCGACAAATCGGTCGATATGTCAATTTCAATTTGGAAATTTGATGTAATTTATTGACTTCTAACACGCCAATCTCTTTTGCATACAACAAAGGCTAACTCACAAAATTACGGCGAACGAAACTTGAACTTAAGTTTTTTATTTACAGCAATTGAAGAATTGTTTCCGTCAAATTTTTGTGTGTATACTATATAAGTTGTTGTTCTATTTTGTAGGCCTTTCTAAGACCATTTCGTGAACATCACATAGATCCTACTTCAATAACACGTCATGATTTCATTGAAACGAATGGAGACAATTTCATGGTAGCTTTGCCAATTTTAGCCCGTGTCGCATACAACTTTCTAACAAATAGTCCGACAGAGATACAAGATCATTATCCAATTAGTGCTTATTTATTCCTTTGTTCGATATTCGTGGCGATGACCAATCAGGTGCGTGAATAAAATAACAAAAAATTGTGTACTTTTCGGTTTTGCTTTAATCTATTTAGTGCGAACGTATTTCATTTGGTGTTTCTTTGTGGTTCCTTTACAGATACACAAGTGGTCGCATACATATTTTGGGTTGCCATGGTGGGTTCTATTTTTACAAGATCATCATATAATTTTACCACGGCGACATCATCGAATACATCACGTGGCACCGCATGAGACGTATTTTTGCATCACGACCGGGTGGCTCAATTGGCCATTGGAAAAACTCAGGTAAATACATCTTCTTCATAGCAACATATCGACTTCAAAAAAAATGTGTGACATTTGAGTTTGCACATGGTGTTTTTATTGCATTTTCATGTCATACAATTAAAGTATCCGTTTCAAAATGAATTGCGTGCATGAACTCTATACCATTCGATCAGCAAAGAGCTTCGAAATTAAATGAACACACCGTCAACCACCCGCAACATACACACAAATCGAGGTTAATGGAAATGTTGCTCTTTAGCTTTTTTTCGGTTTAACCGAGTTTTGACTATAGTCAAAATGGTTTATTTAACCTTTTAACGATTGTGTTTCATCTGATGGTTATACACGTTTGGTTAATATTGTCTTTTTTTCTCATGATATCACATTCGGTGACATTTTGTCTTCGCCATCGATTTTACTTGGAACGATGAATCATTTGTGTTTTGATTTTTTTGTTCAAGAACAATTGCATGCGTTGGAATGATAAATATGTGTTTCTGCAACATTAAAGCTCAACGATGACTTCAGATTTCAGTGGGGATTGACAAAGTCATTTTTCGTCATTTTGACGCCCCTTTGCATGTGACCGCGGGACACGAAAACATCAAAACCTTGTTTTTTTTCTGTTTATCCAAAGCAAATATTTACTGCAAAGTGAGTGGAAACAAGGAAAAAAGAAATACGAATGAAATGCAGCAATATTCAACTTGATTTGTGTCATTTCATGGTTGTCGCTTGCATGGCAAAATGAAAGCACATTCCATATCAATTATATGGACACACAAACACACACAGTGTTCAATTAGCTAGTGACTTTCCTGCATTTTATTATCGAGGGTATATTATTTAAATTATATGGAAATATGCGTGTGTACTGTTATCGTGATTTCTCAAGTGGTTTGGTAAATGAATATGGAAATTGGAACAATTGGTGTTCATCAAAAATGTCTCACTCACGCCACCACATCGAATATTCATGTGTTTAATAAAATGAAATTAAGTTGCTTTTGTTTCATTGTAATTTCGTTTTAACTAATAAAATAACTGGGGCTGTATGCGAATACGGGGCATTATTTGTGTTTCAATACAACGATGACCAATTAGAATTTAATGTGAATTTCATGTACACATTTGCTAATCTGAATTGTAAATGAAAGAAATGCCACGCTCATTGATCTAGAAAACAGCATTCTACTCTCTACTACTCTCTAAATGCTCCTAATATAGTGAAAATCACTTGTTATGTTCGACGTCGATATTATTGTTGTGAAAGCAAATAACAAATGGAACAACCACACACAAAAATTCCATTGATTAACAACTCCACCGCCGCTCCCTTTTCAAATGAACAAAGGAAAACAAATTCTAGCTCGTAAATACGGCGTGTTTTATGCTCAAAGACAAAAAAAAATAGGTAAACAAAAATGGGCAAAAGAAAATGTGACCCATAATAAATCATGATGATAGATTCGAATGTGTTGACCTAAATACTTGTGCCGAAAAAAATTGATCATGAGCGTGTATATTCACTTAAATGATTTTATCATCGATTTTGCGTCGAAAGGAGATTCATTGTTTTTATTTTTATTTTTTTACAGATTTTGGTCAACTATGGAAATCATCATTGAGTATGTGTTCGGTTGCAAGCCAAGAGCCGATGATTTCAAATGGGCGCAAAAGTCACAATAAAATCCAAACGGCAGGCTGTACCAGCAAGAAGTACCGACGAAATACAACTATTAGAGTGTCATAATGTTGATTTCAAATGTGTCACAAAAGAACATATCGATTAAGCTGAATGCATTTGCCATAAATACCTCTGATAGTGATAAGCTTGTGAGCATTGTTCTTTGTATATTTTGTATGGATTTTATATACTGCACAGCTCATATCTCAAACCCAAACGTTTAAATGATGAATTTTATTGTGTTTCGTCAGCGGCAAAAATCCATCTTTTACAGCTTAAGTTCCTAATGCAAATTGAATGAAGGATACATTGTTGGTTATACCATTATTTACCAATTAATTGAATTCAGAGAAAAAAACGACTATAAAAGTCGTAAAAAATATATTTAGCTGGAATTTGTTCATTTGTCTGTTGTCCTTGAGTCAACTTTTTATGAGCTCCCTCATAACGATGTACCTACTTTGCGTCAGTATTTAATGGAACCGAAAATTGTTTTGGCTATTAGCAGTAATGATGCGAATGAATGTCGTCACTATTGTTGTAATGTTCTTTTATGAGCTTTTTTTTGAAAGTAGACATCGCAACGTGTTACATGGTCGGAAGATAGTGTGATAAAGTATACACCTGTTCGAATCGAAATAAAACTTATATTGAATATAAATAACATGCGATGTGGAACATTGCCGAAAGGACACATAAAAGTCAATTAATTTATCCTAATTACAATGGCAATATATATGATATGAGAATGTGACAGAAAAAAAAAACTAGAATGTAATCACAGTATTATATGCCACTTATTTATATGCTCGTTAATATAATTATAGATCAAATCTAATTTGTATTAAGAATCATATTATACGAAATTGGATCTTTTGATTTCATTTAAAGAGAAGAAAAGAGAACATAAAAAATTAGATGAATTGAATCAGTGCATCGAAAAAATTGCTATCATAACTTCTAAAGTTGGTGATCCAAAAGGGGTAATTTCAAGGGGAATGTCACAAAAAAACGTACTAGAATTATAAAATTCGGAATAGGTCGTAAAAGGTTGAAATAGTTTGGAATAAGCGGCAACGTAAATGTCAACAAAAAAAAATTATATTATTATTATTATTTTATTATTCACAGAAACATTAGGTTTTTAATTCAGTCGTCGGCACCGAAACATTTCAATATTTTTGCGAATATATTTTTTGTATAATTTAAATAAATATATTAAACACTTACAACAAAAAGTATATTCAAAAAAATATTGAAATGTTTTTGACTGAATTGAAAGCTCAATGTTTCTGACACCATATCGGCGTATTTGTTGACATTTACATAACCACTAATTCCAAACTATTCCAACCTATTTCGACCTATTCCGAATGATATAATTCTAGTACGTTCTTTGTGACATTCCCTTTGGGTAATTTTAAATTTAAACATTTGATAAAAAAATGTATGGGGTAGTTCACGTCCCAGACATACGTCCTCAAGAGAAATATTTAAGGGGTTAATTGAAAAAAAATCGAGAGGGATAAGCAAAAAAGTGAAGTGTGTTTTGTGAAAAGTGTACTTTTTTCGTTTTGCTCTTCACTTTTTTGGCCAAAATCCCTAGCAAATTGGAAGAATTCGTTAAAAATTCGAAAGGGGTCAACACTTCGTCAGTGAGGGTAATCGGACCCCTCGGACCCCTGCTGAGGACGTATGGTCCCAGAAAAAGTGAAGAGCAAAAAAATCCAAAGGCTGTTATTTGCAATAAAATACGGGATTGTTTCTCTGAGGAGGAGGATTAGTGAGATGGCATATAAGAAGGAGAGCGCTGAGAAGGATCCTTCCTCTCAAGCGATTTGGGAAAAGTTTTTTTTTTTAATCAAAAAGCTCTTTTTATCGCAGAAATATCATTTTTGGTTGAAAAAAAAATTCCTCCTCCCCATTAGCCACCTTCCCACTCCTCCTTCTCAGGAGAACAATACTTGTAAAAGTAATTTTTCCACTGCACAGATTCTTCAATGGATCTTCGATTAGAAAAGATTAATAGTAGCACGATCTGATGCATACTTATTTTCAACAAATTACGATTGTTCAATCAATCGAATATCTTTGTCGGACATTATCAAAAAAGTTTCACATTTTGAACCACAAATACCATTGCATTCTCACTCAAATAATACTGGTGTAAGAATAACTGTTTTTATCGTTATTAGCTTAAGATACAAATTATTGAAGAATTTACTCGAAGCGGGTAGTGCCTTTAGAGGATGAATCGAATAAAAAGGTAAAATAAAAACTATATTAGGCTTTGCAAGATTATATAAATATATATAATTATAATTTCACACCCACACAATTCCTATGTAAGAAACATTATAATTTTGTATGTGAATAAAAAACTGAAATCTACTCAAGTGCTATAGTAAATTCTTGTGTACTTTTTCTGATATCAAAGTTATAGCTTGATCTTTTCCAATGCAGCGAAGGCTATTTGCAACTTCAAACTCTCTATCTAATCGTCATGCGATTCCACCAATGTTGTTTCACATAGTTTAACCTTTTGGACAAAGATTTCATTCAGTTTGGATTGAAAGAATTTCTCTGCGCAAAATATCACGATTGAAGCAAGAAACCCATAAGCAAGAATGAGAAAAACAGCTTTGCAATCAATTAGTCGAACGCTGCCAAAATTCTTTCCATTTGAATCGCATTTCGGTTTATTTCGATACACACGTGCTCTTTCTCGTAATTGAATTCCATGTTCTCGGATTTTCATCATGCTGAAAACACAGAATTAATAATCAATCGACTTTAGAAAAAGTAACTGTATTACATACTTGACCTTGAGAATTTCTTTGTATGGGGATTTTTTTTGAATGGCAGACCAGGTACCGGTGATTTTAAGAAATTTTATTTCAATCAGACCACATTTCTCATTCTCATAGAAAGTTCGTTCAATCGCAGTGTATGCAGGCGAAGTTTCAGTATGAAATGCAAACATTCCTTCTCTCAGTCGGCTTATGCCGTAACTTATATTCATGAACACATTTGGTGCATTCGGTGCGATTTTTGATTCATATAGTTGTTTTCGCGTTGGTTCGGTTTCAATTTTGAAATAATGACGATTAAAAACTGTGTCGTGTACGCCGATTTCAATCGCTGGATTATTTAGGTCCGAAATGCTTCGAAACGATTTTGTGGTTGATTGGAGCAATGCAACGATATTCGCGGTAAAAGAATTGTAAATGAACAATAATGCGACGAAAAAGAAAAACTACGATGAAACAAGAGAAATAAGTTAAGATATGCTCACAACCAAAAGCTTAAATACAAACCAAAGATATTCTGGTCGATACTATTTTGGTTAGATACTCTGAGCCCATTTGACATGACGATGCAATGGCAAACATAATATAATCTGATATTCCCATATTTTCTGTTGTTTTATCCGGTAAAAATTGAAATTTCATAGTCAAAGCAATAACCAATGTGCATAAAATCACCAATAAAATTGAACATATCCAAACTATTCCGGAGAATGGGAGATAATACTGGAAAAAGATACTTTAATTAATAAAAAAGCAATAATTAACGAGAAGCTATACGACAGACGATGTTAGAAACGTTCGACAAGTTCGGTGGTCGTAGAATGAAAGCAGTGTATGTAGGAATTTGCATCGATAAATATTCCATTATGCCAATGCGTTCTTTCGTGATGAAAATTATAGTTCCTACATTGAATGACATCATCTTAATAACACGTAAAAAATAAAGACAAAAACTGCTTCAAACCTCCAATATCGGCTTCCTTCTTTTGTAATTGGCCAGACATTCCGGAAAAAATGCCCGATTTCGGATCCTTGTAACCCCATGTACGGTGAACATCAAAGCGCATGGTTGCATTCACAGACTCAATCCAATGTTTAGTGATCAATAACGATAATTTTGAAACGGTGTCCACCGTGTTGTGCCTTTAAACGAAGAAAAAAGTAAAATATAACCGTGTCATGACTGAAAATCAAATGAATTTCTCAAGTGGATCGCTACGAACTGGTAATCATCCAAATCAGGATAGTTTTCGGATCCTTCTTGCATAAAAACCGTAGCAGCTACCAAATTATGATTTTGTAAATTACGGCGCCGCCGAGACAGAATGCGATTTTTTCGATAATCAACCAAACCATGTGTTGCATTCCACACACCAAATTCCTCGTAAATCAAAGATGACTCCATTGAAATTCTATAAACTGAATGAAGAGATTTTTTTTCGGTGGCCTTTTTATGATTCGAATGTAAAATGAAAATTACCCTGCTTCAAAATATAGTCTTTAGAATCGATGTCTTGATTAACAATCAATACGTTGCTGTCCGGCAAAAAGGGCAGATTTTGAATGGCTTCATACTTTGCGTGTACCATGATCCATCGATATGGATGCGAAAAGTATTTTTGATCTATGGTCATTAAAAAATCACATCCACAATTCATATCGATGAAAAACCATTGCTTATTCGTATAATCATCGTCGATTGGCAAATAAATTGACACATTTGATTTCATAATTTGTATTGGAATCGGAATAGTTTTTAAAAACTCAAATTCGTCCATTTTCGACCAGCATATTTTAGCCGACAGTATTGAAGCTGCTCTCTCATGTTTAATTATGTCGTTCACTAAATAGGACACTTCTTGGGTTCTTTGATTCGGTGAACATGAGATTATAGAGAAAAAGTTTGAACTTAGTGTGATAAAAGTCACGAAGAATTGCACTGGACACATTTTTGACTGGATAAATGCGGTTTGAATGATTGAAACATACTGCGGCAATATTCATACTCTTCACTTTTTATATATAAGCATTCTTTTTTTCTTTCAGAACGTACACTGCCGTCAGAAAGTTTAGGTACGATTAACGATTTCCATACAAAGTGCCGTTTTTCACAAGTGTCACGGATCGTGAAGGAGCCATTTCCGATAGATGGTCTATTCAGACGAAATGTAGTCTACATTATGTATGGACTGCATTTCATCTGAAGATAAAAATCCTGTCCGAAATGACTCCTTCATAGTTTTTTTGGTATTCAAAATTTCAATCTCCTAAAAAATGATTTTTTCATATTAAAAAATGGATTTTTCTGAGTATCTGCGCTTCCAATCAATAAAATCATATGATGGAATCACTTCTGAGAGTTGATGTCTTCAGATGAAATGTAGTCGTTACTATGACTCCTTCATGGTCCGCGTGTGAAAAACAGTAACTTGTATGAAAGTTGTTAATCGTACCCAAATTTTCTGGCGGCAGTGTATGTATGGTTAAAAAAATCAATCCGATTCAAATCATAGGTTCAGGTTTCATTTACAGATGAAACAGAAAAAGGAACGATCTAATTTTTATTACAAACCATCAATTACATCAATTTTTTTCATTTTTGGTTAACTAACTCTTTTTTTCATTTCAACCGAATATATACTTAGTGTTTTGATCGATAGTGCAATGTGTTATTCATAATTATTCATAAATATGTGGTATCAATGCTAAAAAAGACTTAATATTGCGGCATTAAGGGTCGAATATGTGTTTAATCTTGTGAAAATATTCGGTAACTACTTCCGAGTTAAAAAATAGAAGGCCAAACCTAACATAATAACATTGTTCATGTTTGACATATTGACAAAGCTCATAAGAGTGCTACAAAGCAATAATTGAAAAACATGTACTGTATTATTATTTGTCATTGT